TTTTTTTGGAAAGTACAAATGCCACATTGAGTTTCTGAAGCCAATGAAAGGCCATTGTAATGGGAATGTAAATATGATATTTTGAGTATTGTTGAAGAGTTTTGACTACTCACGCAGGACCCATAGGCCCTCTATGATTTTGTTATGGAAATGAAACAAAGGAAGTTATATTTATGCAAAGTTATCGTTTATCACCACTCACTTGGGATCACTTTAAACTCTGTATTACTTTATTTTTATTTTTTATTATTGTTCTACAAATGTACAACTACTCAAAGTGAGGACCAATTTATTGTCTGTATGACTTTTTATGAAAATATCAATATATTTCTTCGCATGTTGTTAACCTTTACACTGAGGACCAAAATGATCGCTGTATGACTTGTTCCTCACAGTTTTCTAAACACTGAGTTTCATTGAGTTATCAACAAGTAAAAGAAACAATGGCATAACCAGAAATGTATTAATTATTGAATGTGATGTTATGTTCTGTTATCATTTATTACTACTTACTCAGGATCAATATAATCCCTGTTCCACTTTTTTTGGAAAGTACAAATGCCACATAATTGAGTTTTTTCACTATTACACTTATTTGTCTGAACTTTTTACATCGATTAACAAATGAAAATAAAGCAATTCAATCAAGGATTAAACGGCATGTCTTTTGAGATTTTTGGTAAAAATACCATGGTAAATGTGTCCAGGGGCCTCATTTATAAAGGGATATACGCTCAAAAAATGGCGTACGCCAGTTTCTACGCAATGTTTGCGATTTATAAAATACTAACTTGACGGGAAAATGTGCGGTCCTCCACGCAAACTCTAACCCATGCGTACGCACTAAGCACACAAACGGGAGAGACGAGAAACTGCGACACCGTTGGCAGAAGGAAGAATGGAGAGAAATATGTGGAAATAATACCATAAATAAAATGTTACCTCTCATTTATCAAATATGAAGAATTCATTTTCAAACATTGATTAAAGCCAATCTTAAAATTATTAAACAAACGCCTGTTTGAGACTCCTCAGTGCACACAAAAACATAACTTGGAGAAATAAATAAATACGGATATGTTATTTAAAACCACCTCGAATATGTTGTGTTAATGTTATGAAATGTTTTCTCATAAATGATGCGGTAAGCAGGAGGACAGAATTACGTCTAAACTGACGCCGTTTTGCATTTCTATAGGTTGTAGATACGAGCATGGTTTTATATACTATCACGTTTAATCGTGTTTTATGCCGTTTGCCAAGACTTGATAAGTCGCTCGTAAAACACAGGAGGTATGGAAACTAAGAACACCATATGTGGTAAATTGTACAGCTAATATAACGCAACACATTAGTTGTATTTCCTTTAACTGGTGGATTATGGATATATAGTTGCCGATCGACAGCTGGAACACAAACCACCAAATACAACAAAATAATTCAGATCCAGTCGTCATGACTCCACTCCGGAGGGATTCCCCGCTCATTTCTTACAGTTTCTCATCAAGGGGGTGTCTCCTGTCCCCGGTACAAACACACTGAGGAAGGTTATGTGTATTTTTTTTGTCATTAACTTTTTTCAGACCACTTATTTATTTATTTTGGTGACGATCCGACCTCCATGCTGCTACTCTGGTTCAAACTGCATCCACCAAACAATATGATTTATCTCGACCTCCCCAAAATAACCAAAATCTGACACGGTGTGAGATGTCTTTTTTAGCTGTTCGGTCGTAATTTTCTTCTTCATGCAGTCAGTCAAAATGAATGAATGAATGGGCGTTTCTTTTACTATTTATAGGCAAATATGGGCGTTACGAGTCGATTGTGATTTATAAAGGGAAACAGGCGTAGGGAGTGCCGTACGCACTTCCCTCGCCGGTACGCAATGTTTTGTGAATCGGAAAATGTCGGAACATTTCTGTACCTATTTTTTTGCTTTGTACTACGTAAGCAACCTTCCCAGTGTCAATCCTACGCAAGGCGTTATAAATGAGGCCCCTGGGCTAGACACTGGGTGTTTCTCAATCGCGAGTAAAGCTGCTGCAGAGCCACTATTTCAAGCATACTACGTCATTGAGTGCCGCCGAAGTACTGTTCCAATCTCCAGCATACTTGGAAATCTACCGAGCCCGGCGTACTCCGTTTGGAGAAATATCGAGGCTGCACATGAGTAGACTGCGGTCTTAAAATCCCCACAATGCTTTGCGCACGGACCAATTTCCCCAAATCTGTGGCGGAAGATGTAAGGCGGGGCCTCTCATATGACGCACACCTGCACACTTGCTAGCGTGTTCCACTCTTTGTTTTCCGAATGGCAGGAAGTATTCTTGCCTCGCTTCTGAAGCAAGATGCTCGGCAGACATGTGCTACCAAGCAAGCGTACTCGCGATTGAGAAACACCCAGTGTATCACTCAAACCTGTGAGTTGTTCTACCTCTTTCCTTTTCTATTATATATATTAGCACTCCCTGGAAAAGGATAATCAGTTAGTTCTCTTTTATTGGGTTGCCACACATGTTGCTTGAGGGAGATTTATGCAATGCTGTCAATAATAAAAGATAACATTAAATATGTAGGCTAGAGGATCAGAAATGTTCAGTCCTATCTCATACGGCACCTTTAAAAGTCGCTTTACTGTTGCAACACTAGTCATTAAAAAGGGGGGCTAAAAAGTGTTCAAAAGCACACTTGGTAAACCTATGCTGAGGATTTAAATGTGTTCTTGTCTGATTAGATCTCTTCCAATACCTGCAAGGGTTTTAACAGAATGTTTTTGATTAAATTGTTAGCTTTGTTGTACCTTGTAGGGTAAACTGATAATACCCCACAAATAGCACCCACTGGGCTCACAGGGAGGGGGGGGGGGGGGGGGCAGGAGCTCCAACAAGCCGTTTAGGACAGAGATCGAATACCTGGGGCCTAATTTATAACGCCTTGCGTAGGATTCACGTGGGAAGGTTGCTTACGTAGTACAAAGCAAAAAAATAGGTACAGAAATGTTCAGACATTTTCCAATTCACAAAACATTGCGTACCGGCGAGGGAAGTGCGTACCGGCACTTCCTACGCCTGTTTCCCTTTATAAATCACAATCGACTCGAAATGCGGCGCAGCTTTTGCGGGCTTCACGTAACGCCCATATTTGCCTATAAATAGTCAAAGAAACGCCCATTCATTCATTCATTTTGACTGACTGCATGAAGAAGATCGAATAATTATTTATTCGATCTTCTTCATGCAGTCAGTCAAAATGAATAAATAAGTGGTCCGAAAAAAGTTAATGACAAAAAAAAATACACATAACCTTCCTCAGGCAGTGTGTTTGTACCGGGGACAGGAGACACCCCCTTGATGAGAAACTGTAAGAAATGAGCGGGGAATCCCTCCGGAGTGGAGTCATGACTACTGGATCTGATTTAATTTTTTGTATTTGGTGGTTTGTGTTCCAGCTGTCGATCAGCAACTATATATCCATAATCCACCAGTTAAAGGAAATACAACTAATGTGTTGTGTTATATTAGCTGTACAATTTACCACATATGGTGTTCTTAGTTTCCAAACCTCCTGTGTTTTACGAGCGACTTATCAAGTCTTGGCAAACGGCATAAAACACGATTAAACGTGATAGTATATAAAACCATGCTCGTATCTACAACCTATAGAAATACAAAACGGCGTCAGTTTAGACGTAATTCTGTCCTCCTGTTTACCGCATAATTTATGAGAAAACATTTCATAACATTAACACAACATATTCGAGGTGGTTTGAAATAACATATCCGTATTTATTTATTTCTCGAAGTTATGTTTTTGTGTGCACTGAGGAGTCTCAAACAGGCGTTTGTTTAATCATTTTAAGATTGGCTTTAATCAATGTTTGAAAATAAATTCTTCATATATGATAAATGAAAGGTAACATTTTATTTATGGTATTATTTCCACATATTTCTCTCCATTCTTCCTTCTGCCAACGGTGTCGCAGTTTCTCGTCTCTCCCGTTGTTGTGCTTAGTGCGTACGCATGGGTTAGAGTTTGAGTGGAGGACCGTACATTTTCCCGTCAAGTTAGTATTTTATAAATCGCAAACATTGCGTAGAAACTGGCGTACGCCATTTTTTGAGCGTATATCCCTTTATAAATGAGGCCCCTGGTGAATACACATACTTCACAGAGATGCTGTATGAGAAACCAATGTGAGTTTGGAAAATTGCACAATATAAATCTATTTTAGTAGACCTCAACAATGGAATTATGATCAGTAGAAATGGCCATGACATGGGACCTTTAAAATATATTGAAAATGCATTTACTTTAAGAGCTTATTGTTTTATATGGCTTTTAGGTTTTAAATATCATAAATATATTTTCCTTATATCCTAAGCCCTGCAGCTTGCATTGTTTGGCAAGATCGAAGGACCCTGGAGTGACAAAGTTTGCTCATAAACTCTTCCTTCAACTAAAGTCAATAGCATTGCACCCTGCAAGCAATTTCATCTGACCCTTTTACATTCATTATAGTACTGCATATGCTTTATTTTCACATTTTTGGTACAGAGACAATTACAACTGGAAAACTTTTTTTAAAGACAAGACTACATTGTGTGTTTTTATTTTGGATCGCCTCTTAATGATTTTGATGATTCTGTTATTGGAAATGTTCTGGTAAAGGATTCCATTATTATTGTTTGGTTTTAGATAGCGAAACATCTTTATTTTTAACAGACTCAAAGACAGGTCACATGTTGGCTCAGGATTAGTAAATTGAATTGATGTCATGAAATTCTTAGCTCTGCCCACGTCACCCTGGGCAACGGGGCTAATCACGTGGGATATTGAACACACCTGTGTAGGCGTTGTTTTCTCAAGAAGCTGACAGTGAGCTTAAAAGTGTTCACTGCCACCTCCCATAGTAGCCTTTTAGAACATTTGGAATATTCTTTATTGGATAGGACATCTGCAGGATCAGTTGCTAGTAAAAACAAGCGTTCGAAGTTAAAAGCACTTTTTTTTTTATTCATTAAGAAATCATGTTATGAAAATAATGACAACTAACCATATATCAGACAAATGTATCTTTCCATGTTAACAACAAAGGTTTGCTCTGGAGGACGTGACGTCTCAGCGGTCCCCAGAGTGTCGCTGTCTTCTCCTTGTGCGAGGAGTGTGCTTGGTCTCCCACTTCCATACTATAAAAATGTTTACAAGGCTTTTCACGTCTCTTCTCAGTGTCCACACATGAGAACACGTTTCAAATATGTTTTGTTTGTGAGGGAGAAATTCACATACCAGATTCAGTCTTTGTGTTATGTGGTCATCTTCTCCATCTATTAATAATTTACACAAAACCTGTACATACTTACAGCAGGCAGGAGCCTGTTTCTGAGGGGATGATCACACAGAGAAAAGAAGCAACACACAGTGAAGTGAATCTTTACAAAGTCAATGTGATAATGTGGGAGGTCAAGATGTTATGAGCATATTAGACACTTGCCTTCATCAAGACATGCAATACAAATACTTTTGTAACTCTCATTCAACCCTATCGCACTCGAAATGTGGCTTTGACATTCTGCATGAAACCAATACCGGCTCCAATGTCTTCCAGTCCTTTGCTTTAAAACACACATTCAACACAACTGACAATAGGGACAGACACTTTAAAAATATTTATGGAGTGTGTGTTTGTTATGGCTGATGCTACGATAAAGTATATTCATATTAACCAGAAAGATGAAAGACTTTGGGTGCAATAGGATTTACCATACCTTACCTCCCTCTGCATATCCCCCTCCCTATCATACAGCTGATAAACTTCACAAAATTAAGTTAAGCTGGGATAGGAAAGAGTCAGAAAATTCACTTAAGGCTTCATTCATATTATTTGGCAGGTTGCTAATGGAAAGCAACGATTATATTCCTCGCCATCTCACGACTCCGAAGGCTGGGCACTTACTGTCTGCAGTCATTCAAAGTCTTTCACGTCACTCGTATTGCATTTTGTTTAGATAAAACAATAACTATATTACACTTTTTTGATTTAGAAAAGGACAACATTGCGTTAACCACATAGTATTTCTAAACATCCTGTTACTGACACCACAAATTAAAAAGAATGATGCTGAAATGATGGAAGAAATAACTGCTGTGTGCGTCTCTGCAATACTAACAACATGATGTGAAATGAGCAGGAACACTAAAATCCGGGTTGACTTCAGGCAGACGACAATGTACGTAAGATGGATTTTCTTCTATAAAAATCATATATGACCGGCAATGGCTCTGCGAACACTTAACATGGTGTCAGTCTATGGCACTAGTGTATGGCAAACACAACAAATAATGAAAATATAGAAACGGACAGTAGATGAAGTTAATGGAACTGTGTAGTGTTATACCTTGCTGCTATCATGTGTCCTGGGTTTAAGGACACGGACACTCTGTCATACTCAAAACTCTTTTCAACAAAACCTCTTTAAAACATTATTTGTTGAGGCGAGAAATCGCAGGGAGAAACTGACATGAGGTTTGTGTTGATCTCATTTCTCTTGGGATTTCTCTCCATTTTGCATCCACGTTTTCTTTCATGTTTCCCTGTCTGCGAGCTGAAAGAGGAGCACGCTTTCTTTCAACAGAAGCCACACCGACTCCCGTTGTGTGATGAGCCACGTGGAGGAGGAGGGGACCCTCACATGTTGTAAGCCACATATATGGGGTCCAGCTGGTCGGCCAGGAACCCGTCTCTGAGGTGCATGCGCTGCTTCTCCCCTCTGGAGTTGATGGGGATGACGCCGGGGTCGACCACCACCACCACTCCCACGATGAGGTAGTGCTCCTCCAGGACTACGTTGGTGACCAGGGCAACCAGGTCCAGGGCCTCCTCCTCGGACCCCTCCAGCTCCACCACCACCACCAGGAGGTTGGTCCAAGTGAACACCGCACTGGGAGAAAGCGAGACAAAAAGAAAAATGGAGAGAGAGCAAAAGGGAAAGAAAGAACAGGATAGAGGCAGATAAGTCAGAATTTATGTTGCTCAGTTATATTTCTGAGTATAAACTGGATAAATGTCTTACTACATAATGCATAATTTGATATGATTAGTGATGAAGTAGTGATGAAAATGTCTCACCACTCAGCTATGCTCTTGTGAGAACGGATAACGGAGGTCTCGATGTCGATTGGGTGATACCTCATTCCCCTCAGCTCCAGGGTCTCATCCAGAGAGCCCACCACATAGAGGGCGTCGTGGCGCTCTGAGACACACGCACATGCACACGCACACGCACACGCACACACACACACACACACACACACACACACACACACACACACACACACACACACACACACACACACAATGTACCAAGTTAAAATGTGTTAAAGCTCAACGTCTGCATTCATTTTATAACTCCGATGTACAAATAATAAAACAAAGTATTTTGTTTTACAGTTTTTTTGTATTTTCATAGAAAAGTATTCAAAGTTAAGCTGCTCTAATCAGCAAACTGTTCTACTGAAAGGCATTTTTATTTATTTAATTAAAAACAAGAGCCCTTTTTCTCTTAAAGTGACATTAAAAGTTTATACACAAGTGTTGTCTTTTTTGTTTTAATATCATGCTTATATTACCCCAATTTCATCAAATTATCTTCAACTGACTTCTAAAAAATTATTAATAATTAATTAACGTAATAAAATCACGTATTACTTACTGAAATAAAATACACAGACTGCATTTATGTATTTAACCTAAACGTATATTAATGTTACTTGTCACACGCAGTGAGCGTTTGTTATCCTCACCTCCACTGGCGTCCGTCAGCTCGGTGCGCCGCAGGAAGCCGAGGTAGCCCGTCCTCGCCCACACCGTCTGGGTGTCTCCGAAGCTCAGCTTGGTGTTGAAGTGGTCGGCGTGCAGCGCCTCCTCCCCGTAAACTGTGTAGTATCCTGTGGCATTGTGAGGACTGCTCACCCACACCTGATACACACACACACATGAAGAGAGGTTACACACATGATTGTATACATCTGCTGTGGAGGTCTGGTGTAAGGACAGGCTTTGAAGTGAGAGCACAGCTTTTCTTAGTTCTTTTATTGTGTTGGAAACTGTCTTTAGACCTCTCAATGCAACTCTGTGCAAGATCCAGTTAAACTTCAATCTGCTGTTTAAAAAGGAAGATGTATTTATTTATTTAAAAGGATGGCACCTGTTCTATCATCTTGTTACCCTGTCTAAAGTTGTCTTCATTCACTAATACTCTCCTTGAGAAATCTAGCTTGTAAAACAAGGTTGTTATAATCTCTTACCGTTATTATAGAAATGTGTTTTCGTTGATATGACGTTTAAGAGATCAGTTCTCTGCAGTAAGCGCACTGTAACTTATAATGCATGTGGAACAGGTGAGGGTGAAACACTCAGGTGACTTTGTGACTTACCTCTCCTAGGTGGGAGTCTCCCAAGGGTCCTTTAGTCTCTGTGTTGGCAATGATCACCTTCACTCCTGGAAGGATCTAGAACAGCAGACAGAGATATATCAAAGATTTAGAAAACATGTTGCAGCACACAGTTACCTGTAGTGTTTTAGTGCATTTCAAGAATCTGGTGTATGTAGAAATCTGCATCGACAAGGAGCATACATATAGAATACAACAAGATATATTCGAAATATATAAATGTGTATATCAAGTACCTTCCCAGACTCCATCAGTGGCAGGCTGTGTGGAGACCCTCTCTCTACCAGGCGGACCCTGAAGGATAAATATACCAAATGAGCAAGTTCATATCTCTTTTTTATTATTCTATTCCCCAAATGTGAAAAAAGCAGGAAAAACAGCGAAAACTAATCAGTTCAAGATTGAATAATGTATTCATTTGCAATAAAAATGTGTACCAGAATTATAATAACACCACATATTAGACTGACTTAACACATGTCCACGTTTATATCTCAAAGAAAACTCCTGTTATTAAAGCTGCAGCGGCGCCCCCTACCTGTCGTGACGTAGCGCTCTCATGTCCACGTAAACAGTGGTGGGGTCAGGTCCCGCTGTGCCCTGGAGGAAAGCAAGCAGAGTGAGACATCAATGTAACTCTTAAAAGCCTGACATTATTGCTGTATGTAGCCTGAGTGGAGGGGAGGTGGAGGCTGCTTAGGACACAACTGTTGACAAAGCAGGGGGGGTGGGGGGGTTGCAGCCAGAAGCCGACCAGCCAGGCTACGACAGTGAGGAAGTTGGTCAAACTCACAAAGACAGTGTGAGTACTTGAACATTCTGATTAATCTTCTCACAGTCAGCTACGTTTTTTTGCAAGTGTAAGATGTTTTTGAGAATTTACTGTGCTACATTAGAAGCCTAAAAGTAGGTCATTTATTTATTTCAAATGTTTATCTGCTGTAACAAAAAAGGCACTCCAATGTCTGAAGATTTCTAAATGAGCAACATTTGTTTTGATTAAATGTCTATAGACAGGGGTGCACATAACTGGTACGCAGGTACGCATGCGCGGCACAAATCTGAATTGCGTAACGTCACTTGTGTCACTACGCGCCTTTGCGTACCTCAAAACATCAAAACAAAACACATATTTCGTCTACACGTGTTTCTTGTCAACACTCAATGGAGTAAACTACTAGGCATGTCAAAAAACCCAAAGACATTAAGCAGCTACGTTGCCGTTTCGCTCCCTGCAAAAAATCTTTCTATGACTGATTGAACTGGAGCTGGGTGAGCCGCGCAGGACATAACCGACGGACCTGTGAAGCTTTCCAGGAGGCACAGGCTTAGATCACTGGACGACAGAGTTGGTCGCCGTGTGCACAGACAGGGTTAACGTCGGTATAAACAACAGAATTGTGCCAAAAGTCCGCCAACTGGCTGCGGTGGGAGACTCCCCTGTGCACATTCTGTGCCCCGCGCACACACTGGAGAACTGCGCAAAATCATCCGATCACAACGTTCACGCTCTGTGGTCAAGCTGCTGCAGTTTTATTTACACCAAAGTGGAGTGAAACACACAGCTGCAAACTTACTCAGGGTGTTATGGAAGAGTTTGAAATCAGACAGAGGTGGAAGAAGTACTCAGATCTTGTGTAGGAATACTCAGTTACAGTAAAAGTCCTGCATTCAAAATGTTACTCAAGTAAAATTAGAAAAGTATTATCAAAATATAGTGAAAGTAGCGACAGTAAAAGTATTCATTGTGCAGATTGGTCCATTTCAGAATAATATGATATGTTTTATAATGATTGATCATGAAAGTGTTCTCAAAGCTGGTAAAGGAGCAGCTAGTTTGAATGACTTTGTATACTGCAGGGTAGCTTGTGAATTTACTCCAGGTGGAACTAAAGTCTGATTTAACACTTGATTAGATTTCACATCATTCATCCACATCTGTAAAGTAACTAAAGGTATTAAATACATGTAGTGGAGTAAAAGTAGAAGTACAAAGTAGCATAAAATAGAAATACTCAAGTCAACTACAAGTATCTCAAAATTGTACTTGAGTAAATAAGTGTGCTTTGTTACTTCCCACATTTGAAATCAGATATGACTTCAAGTCATGTGATCATTTCTTAGTATTTGATCCTTCAACTTGGCCTCAGGAAATGCAAGGACTTCACAGTTTTGGCAACAAGTTTTGGAGAAAGCAAATCGGAGGCTTAAAAAGAGACAGGGAGGTGCATCTTCATCATCTTCATCATCTAGCATGCAAGAAGTGTAAATTGAGGACAGTGAAGGAGACACTGAGGAGGACCACGCTTCGTGTGGGGTGAGTACCAAACGCTGTCTCTTGGTACTCATCTGAGTAACTCACTAAAAAAGTTATGTGCACCCCTGTCTATAGATCTGCCATCCACCTCATTTTTCAGTACTGATTGTGGTTGTCAGATATTGATTCCTTCTGCTTAAAATGTTTCATTATTGCTGCTGTAGGACGAGTCACAATGCATTATGGGTTCCATCACTCTATTGTGTAGTTGTCCCTGAGGTCAAGGACAGACACAGAGACAATGAGACTCATCCAGAGATTTCCATGAATCCCAAACCAGCAGACTGAGAAACCAAAACACTTATGAGTGCGTTCATAACTTCTGTCAGACATTCTTTTTATGAACCTGATCAACAGGTTAGCTCTTCCAATAAAACTAATGAGGCGTGTTCTTTCATTAAAACAAATAAGTGACTTCATTCACTGAATATCTTCTTGTGTGAAAGAAAAGGCACCAAAACAATACTTCATTATATAAAAAAAAATAAAATTGTATTTGACTTAAACTAACTAAGTTGAAATATTGGGTTTGTCAAAAATAGGGGGACATTTTTTTTAATAATTCATCATTTCTTCTTGTAATGCTGTGTGAATGGCACTTGTAAATGACTTTTATCATGGCAGAGTTCATGCTGTGCACTCATGGTATAATGTAAGCACAATACAAATATCCTGCTCATAAAGCAATGGTTTGGTTCAGAGCCAGCTGGTAAGACTTGTTTAAAATGAATAGCGGTAAAGTTCAACCGTAGCTCATCAGGAAAAAGAAAACCAAGAGAAAATGTTTGGAGGCATCTTTAAAAACCATGCAAGAAAAACAAACGCACACACAGCTGCAGACCACAGAGCAAAAAGCAACTCTTATCCATCCGGTTACCTGCTCAGCCAGTTTCCCTAACCTGTTGGACTGACAGGGCAGGACAGATACAGATATTTATATATGTACTTATATAAGTGGATACACATGCACACACACGAACAAAATCACAGGGATAGGGAGAAACAAATAGAAAAGGACATCAAAGTGCTACAGGAGGAAAAGAACGATGAACAGACGTAAACATTGACTGCCACAGACTCTGGACCTCTCTCCTCCTCATCATCATCATCCTCCTCCAGCTGCTTACCTGCAGACAGATGGCCACGTTCACCCTGCAGCCGAAGGTGGTGCTGACGGCGCGTGGCGAGAGCCCCAAGTCCTTGAAGATCTTGGAGAAGGACTGAGTGAGGGCGATGCGGGGCCGCTCCTCTGCGACCACCATGCACGTTCGCACACACGACAGGTTCACGTTTCTCAACTGGAGAGGGAAGAAATACAAGTTGGGTCATTAAAATCAAAAACGTAATAATAATTGAGTATAAATTGTGTAAAATAGGATTAGGGTTAGCCAATATGTGTCTGTAGTATATTTCTGTAGCTTATTGAGAGTGTATGTAGAGTATTCAATCTATTCAATATTTCTTCATATTGTGTATTATTTTGATACTCCAGTGATATATGTCCCTACTATTGTGAAATTATATATACTTGCTCCGAATATACATTTTTATTGTTACTATATTTGTATCTTATTGTATCTTTTTTATTCTTTATTTGGTGTCACATTGTATTAAAAGTACAGTTTTGCTAATCATATCTCTTTAGAGACCTGACAAATTAAATACAGAACAAAATTAGTCAAATTAAATTAAAACAAAAGAGTACATAGGGTCAAATGCCAAATATCTACACATGTACACATGTATCTACTTAAACAGACACACATATATATATTGTATCTTTTTAATATGTTTAACTTGTGTAATGCTTGACAACATTGCTGCTGTGATAAACTAATTTACCGATTTGGGATGAATAAAATATCTATCTATAACTTTTTGATCAGACAGCTTCTACTCATTAAAGCACAGACATGCTTGGTAAAGTATCCCAGTCACAAGTGAAGTGCTGCAGGCATCAGCACCACCAGGAGGGGGAATAGTGAAAGAAAACCCTTCAAAATGGACACAACTCAACACCTGAAGAGACAAACTGACCCGCAGTGCTTCTGTCTGTGAGCCCAGGCCCTTGGTGCACATCTCCATGACTGAATATGAGCAGAAGGTGACGCGCACTTTGTACTGGCTGACTGCGGCCAGCCACAGAGACGCGTTGCTTTCCAGCTCCAGAGGAGGAACCAGGATCGACTGGTGGCCCGAGTACACGCTGAAACCAAAAACATACGTGCAGACAGAGGAATGAGTAAGGCGACAGAGACAAAAAAGGCATTCTGTGATTTGTTTAGAGCTGCTATTTTACCTGCACAGGCACCAGAGAGCGAAGCCCAGGCCGCAGTACGGGTCCAGACAGATGGCGATCTGCCGCGAGGGGTAGAGCTCACACTGCAGTTTGATGGAGCGACACAAGGCACTGGTGGCAGCGTGAGACATCTGGAGGAGATGATGTGACACAAAGAGACACCAATGAAGCGTCAAAACTGAATAATTGAGTACAATTCATCTTAAATACAACCACTTGAGCTTCGAGGGATCCATCATTTTACTGACGGACACCTGAGCAGTGTGTGGATGGTTGCTTGATGCATGAACTTTTTAGGTAGGAATTGACTGTTTTAGTTCCAAGTTAGGTGGTTCAAGTTGAAAAAAGGAACCACATTCGCTCAGGTTTCCTTACTCATTTTCACAGAGAGTTGGCAATCAGATGACAGTTAGCTCACTTTCACTCAGGGACTATCGATTACAGTTTAAATGACTCAAAAACAATGCCATTTTCAATACCTCCATGCTCACTTGCTCATATTACTGAAAGTTAGGCCAAAAAAATAATAATACAAGTGTTGCACCTTTTTATTTCTGATGTGTTGATTCATACCAGATATTATAACTACACTGGGCCAAAAACACACATCCCTTTTTTGATTGGATTTTAGAGGCTTTTTTAAATTGTATATGAATGTTTTTATGAAAATTCTGCAGTTTTTTTATTGAAAAGTTTAATTTATTTTCAATAAATCAATCTCATGTGACCTAATGTCTGCAAATCAATGAAGATGTATTGTATGTAGACCTTCTACACTGCAAAAAATGAATTTTAAGAAAGAAACAAACTTGTTTCTGGGAAACAATTCTTATTTTTTCGTCTAAAAAGTCAAATAACCTTGTTAAGAATGTTTTGCTTAAGAAAAGTATTCTTACTTTGAGGAAATATATCTTACTTTTTCTTATTAAATTTAAATTTAAATTTTAAGAAATAAACCATCAAACAACTTCTCAATTTAAGAATCTGATGAAATGACACCAATTTTACATTTCATATATATTTATTCATTGTCGAGAGCTGTCTATTCACTATTCACATTGCCATTGAGACAACTGGAGGCGTGTGGCGCAGTGGATAGATAAAAGCGTCTAACAAGTAACATGTAATGTAATGTAACTGTGGTGTGGTATACACAACACACACACCAAAAATAAGAATGTTTCTGCTGTCTTAATTTAAGACAAATGCACTTATATATTATGCCAATTTAAGAATGTAATTCTTATTGTAAGCTTTATTTGCTGATGTTTAAACTTAATTTAAGATTTACATTCTAAGTTTAAGACAAAGTCACTAATATATTGTGTCAATTAAAGCCAATGATTCTTATTGTAAGCTTTCTTTGCAAATTATACATCTTAATTTAAGAAATACATTCTTAGTCAACTCAAAACACTAATTTTAAGTTATTCTTTCTTAAATAATGCAGGAATTATTGCTTGTAATAAGCAAAATATACTTACATTTTTCATTTTTGTCTAGTTTCAAGGCCCATTACGGTCTTTCAGTAGCTAGATTTTAATTCTAGTTTTAAGAATTCTAGCCAAGCAAATTTAGTTCACCCCATTGGCAGATTTGTTTGCTTGATACAGGAACATCTGACTTGATTCAAGAATATCTTTGCTTGTTTTTGGAAGGGCTGTTTTTGCAGTGTATTTTATATGCAGTGCTGGTACTTGAGTCTGTTACTTTAAACTGGGGTTGTGCCGACCTTCTTCTACTGCAGTGAAAACACTCATTTTGGATAAGTCTCTCACACAACCCCATTTAAAAACTAAATCCAGATTGCTCAAGCGAGTCTTTCCAAATGTAACATACTTTGACCCCTGCTAAGATGCCTGTTGTTGACACACTGAAGTCCAGGTAGGCCAACATCTCTGGGGTCGGGGGCTTGTACATCTGGGGAGTCTTCTTCCTGGGCAGATCATCTGGAGGATGAACAGAAGGAGAGGTGAAATGTTTTTAAAAGAGAATACTGAAATCACAGAACATTTTTTTCATATAAAATATCTACACTCTGGTGGCAACATGAGCAGAGAAATTGTGTTGTGTATGTATGAATAATTCACCTGTGTCCAACACCATGGGCCAGCTCTTGATGTCCACGGCAGCCGCAGCCTCTTTGGATTTCAGCAGCTTCATAATTGCTTGACTGGTTAGGATACACACCGACTTACTGACCTTTAACACAGAGATACAACAGTATTACTACTTGTATATATTAACTTATTCACATCATTTAAGCCCCAAAATGGAGCAGGGCTGACTTTGTATATAATTCAGTTTATTTCATGTTTCAATAGCCATACATTCAACAGGTTTAATGATTGTAATAACTATGCAGAGGTACAGTATTTGATCCTGCAGTCAACAAGTAGAGTTTTCCTTGTGCAAGATGCTTAACCCCAAATTGCTCCTGTAGGCATGGCCATATGCAGGGACGGCGGGTACTGTAGGCTAGGGAAGGCTAAGCCTTCCCAAATATTTGTGTTACTGCATCCTGGTAAAATAAAAATATAAAATATAATGTTTGTGTCTTTGACATTAGCGCTGCTATGCAGCCACCTGTGCCCTGTACTACGAAGCCAGTTCAACATACCCTGCATATGTTTGAGTTATCTTAACTAACCCTAACAAACGAGATCTCGCTAAGCGGTCCTACGACGCTGGTTATCAACTCGGTAAATCAAGCCAGGAATTCTCTCTCCAGCTGAGAGCGTGTTCACGTGAAAGGGGCGGGGTTAGCTACATTTGACCAATCACAAACATGGACAAGTGTACTGACAGCACAGCGTCATACTTCATGAATGAAAAGTAAACTAATATTAGACAAACATGAACTTTAAACATCCATGACTTAAACATATAATCCAGGATACAAACCACATAGTGTCACCTGCAAGGTGAATATAGAACAACTGGTTAAAAAATAAATAAACTACCGAGTGTTTGAAAGTGTACAACAGTTGTATGATATCACTGCCCCATCTAAGACACGAGTGGATCTGACTTTAATTACATTTGAGTTGAGTGTTTCGTCAACTTAATGTGTTACTTAAAATAATACTTCTGCATACAGTATGTGACAATGTAAGTGTTGCACGGCCAGATACGGCTCAAGAAGCTGACTCAGATAAGGAAATATATGATATATTATGATATTATATGATCGATGATCTGATTGATGATGTGATATGAATGATAAGTGCGACACGTCGGCGTCTTCTCTGCATATGGCAGTTTAAACTGTATTTCCTTTATCCTGTAATATGACTTGATAGATTTAAACTCCGCACACTGAGCTCTGATTGGTCAGCAGGCGGTGCTTTCACTGAGTTGATCTCTTTTCTATAGACGCCGGAGGCGGGCAGCGTCAGGTAAAAAAAGTGATTTAGCCTTCCCAAACCTGAGCCTCACGCACCGCCTATGGCCATATGGTAACAAAGTGTATGTAAGTTGCTTTGGATAAAATGACTTGTAATGGATTAAGTAAGCATTTTGATACAGGTCGAACGACTCTCTGTTACCTCAACAATCATCTTGGCGGTGGGCAGGGTGGTCGCCAGGTTCTGGGGGTGGGGGGGTCTGACAGTGACTGGCACACAGCCGGCGTACAGGCAGCCGTAGAAAGTGGCAATCGGGTCGATTCCTGCACAAAAATGTTAATACTTTGTTAAAACGGATTTCCAAATGTTATACCTAGTAGTTGATCAAAGCTTTACAATTATACTGAGAACTTTATTGAGTCTTTTCTGTTGTGGTTTTGATTCATAGACAGACTCAAATAGTGAAGAAAAGACAGGGCCCAGCTTAAGAACAGTACTCAAAGGAAAAGCAGCATAGTAGCAGTAGCAGCTCTTACCTGGGGGGTAGACGAGTGCTACATGATCTCCAGTGTTGAGGCGTCCCATCAGCGCTGTGGCCACCCGCTCTGCCCGCTTGTGCAGCTGCAGACAGGTCGCTGTGCTCGCCACCGTGCCCTGAAGAGAACACAAGAAAAATGCATTTCACACACTCAATTAACAGATATTAAAGTTGTAATTCTCAAGATGATGAATCAACAAGCAGAGATTTTCACAAGATTTTTAGTTTGAAAAAAAAGTTTTCTTCTGCCCGTGATGCAAATCAATATGTTAGATTTAATTAATTATTCACTCTAGCTTTCAAACTCTGATCAACAAGCCACTCCCATTTTACTCCGCACTTGGATTAGGACTACTGTTTATGTTTTTTTGTTTTCTTTGTATTGTTTCTGTTCTGATTTGATGTAAAGCGTCTTTGAGCATTAGGAAAAGCGCTATACAAATCCCATGTATTATTATTATTATTTTTATTATTATTAATAAATATTATCATTATTTTTTTTTAAATGACATCACTGCAATAAAGTGCCATGATTCAGTCATTAAAAAGACTGAATCCGCCAAAACATACGTTCTAATGTTTTATCTATTAACAGTTTCTAAGTGTATTTACAAGAAATGAACAGTAAAACAATACAATTGCGATGGTTGTTAAGGAATAATTCTTCTAGATATCTAACCTTTTGCTCTGTGACGTGTTATCTCCTTTAAGGAAAGGCCTTTGTGCCATATGTGTTGTCACCAGTGTGTGACCGGTCAACTTGACTGGCACGAAGGGTAATTGTTGTGGGAACACTGAGGCACTTCTTTATCGGTGTTTGTGGGCTCTAGGATGTGAAATCCTTGAGGCCATGAGCGTCAGACGCAGGTGACTCAGTGTTTAGTCTACTCCTTCAGAGATGTTGATTTCTCTCTGTGAACCCGTTAAAAGGTCTAGCATAGAGAGAGGTTCTTCAGAATTGACGTGGCAACTCTACCGTGTGGTCAGAACCTCTGACTCTTTGATTTGTGATGTGAATCCTCCGGCCGAATACTCTGAATAAACCCATCAGTGTTTGACATCAAAGCTCCAACTCTCACCGTGTCTCCTTCCTGAGTCGGTGACTCCATGCATTGCTACACAGAAGTTTCCTCCACAAATTGGCGTTGTCGGCAGGATACCAACAGATCTTCAGAGACTGGTAAGTGTGATTTCAAATCTACATTTGGACATTGCCTTACCAGAATCTGTGATTGACGGTATCCTAAAATTATCTGTGAAGCTAAGCGGCTGCGTTTTGTTTTGGTTAGTGAACATTTGGGGCTATTAACCCCAGGGGATCATCCAGGGACTCTGTCTTGGCTGGTTCCCTCTGTGTGTGCTGCTCGGGACGTATGTGCCGTGCAGGCATACACGGAGATGTTTAAAAAGACCTTAATGAGGGCAGCAGTAAAGTGGAACTTCTGTGTGAAATCAAAATAGAGATTTGTAATGAACAAATCGCCGAGATTCCGGGGGTTTCAGCGGCCAACACTAGCAGTTGACTAAAGCAGCCAGAGATATTACCCCCAGCGCCTCTAAAAAAAACACGGCTCCAGCTGCGGCTCCGGGGAATGTGTGTAACATACCTCCCCGTATCTGCATGAGCTGGTGAAGTGAACTCAGAGGGAGAAAATCACAGCTTTTGTCTATAACTTTAACTCACACCACCGCCGTCTCTATTAAAAACGAGACGGTTTAAAAGCACTCTCGTGGCTTGTGGCCGTTTACGATGTGCTGGCAGGTGCGAGGTGCGTGCATTACCTGATGCGACAGGCTCCCTACATTGCTGGAGGAGTTGGTGTCGGTCCGGGGTGCATACATAAAATTATAGGCTAATTGATCATGGGTGGGCAGTGGTATGCAAGTGTAGAGCAAAACTGTGTTTCATCGTTGGGATGAACATGATGGGAGGTGTGTAGGCTGGTCGAGTAGGACTACAGTTAACTGTGTGGTTTCGGATAGAAAGGGTAGAGGAAAAAAGTCTATGTGCTCCAGATCGGGGGGGCATAGCACCACTAGAGCAGGGATAGTGGGGTCGCAAGAGGATAAGCTAGTTATTGCTCTTGGACGGTCTTCAGGCACCGATCTAAGGACTTGTATACAAGGGTGGAGGCACGAGTCAAGGTGCCCCACTGGATTCCCATTGGGAGAGATCATATAGTCCCTACCCCCTCTGAAACCTCTTTAATCCGGACTAAATTGAGCTGGATGAACTTTTGCTGTCGCACTGGTGTTTGTCTGATTGTTTGTATCAGGGGTCTATATTGGTTTGTCTAACAGCCGTCTTGTGCATGTTTTGTAACAACTAATAATGAATCAGTCCATAGCCAGGGTAAAATAAACTAAGCTTTAGTTAACTCACCAAAAGTAAATGACTTGAGAAAAATAAATAATATATAGTGTTTTGCAAAATTCTGGTAGTATAAATGTGCTGCAAAATGAAAATAAATAGCAAAAGAATGTTTTTATGTCCTGCATCTGAGTGTGCAGAGGAAATGTAAACAAGAAACACACTGTTCAGGTTGTGCGCTGTAGGTGTAAGAAGAAGAGAAGATTATATTATTTTAAGAATACATTTTAAATTGTATTGCTGTTATGTTAAGATATGTTTGTGACCTTTTATAAACCCTATGCCCCGTCCTGCACCCCGAGACCCTAAGAGGCATCACTGCTGGTCGTAAAAACCCTGCCTGAGGAGGTCAGGGTTGCAAAATCTGTCTGCTGTTTTAGGTCAATATTGTATTATTTGTTTCATTGATTCTTAAATCTATGTATTGTATGGTAATAATGAAAAAAACGTAATGTATTGAACACATTCGGAAACAAAGCTGATAAGACAGAACTTGACTCAGACATAATACAAATTATTGTTGAAACCTTTTGCGCTGTTGCTGCAAAATGGAAACTTTGTTGATTATCTATTCCAACTGGCCACTGGATTCAGATAATTAATATAAGTTGAAGTTTAATTACAGTTTTAAATATAGTTTAACATTCTTTATTAAACTGCTTCAAATGATTTCTCGTGTCAACCAATTGGTCTCCATAGACATTACTAAAATTCTAATAGTTGTTAAACTACTGACAAGTTTTCTGAAACCGAGCTTATGAACAAAAGAGTAAAGGTTGCTGGTTAAGCCAGGATCAATATATTTGTTGACGTTTTCATTACAGTGTGCATAATAAATGTGTTAAATGAATTGAGCAATTATTTAAAAAGTATAATGTTGCAATCTCTTTACAATAAGTAATTACAGTTAACAAAGAAGTAGAGGTTGTTTTCCAAGGGCCTCTCCTTCACAGCCCTACACTTTAAATCATGAGACTTTCAAATCATAACAGACAGAGATCGGTATCACTTTGTGTTGCAAGCCAAATCCATGTAAAGGTTCTACTTGAGCCCAATTTAAATACCATAAAGAAAGTATTGAACCCAGCTCAAGCTAAATGTCAAATGTATTTAATTAATGTACAAGTGTTTTGATTTATTTCAAATGTTCTAATCTCAGCTTCTTTCGAGTTCAGTCTAAGCAACAAATTGTTTCTCATAACATTCTCACTGCTGTCCCAAATGTTTTAACCTTGGGCAGACAAGCTGTTCACACACCCACACCCACACACACACACTTTGGATAAGTAGTCACCTTATCCACATTGTAAATTGTTGCCTTCTTTAAAGTTATTAGTAATTTAAGATTAATTATTAAATTAAATGTGGTACATAAGATAAAATAAATAAAATAACTTTGACTTGATCATTTTGTTCACAACATTAGACCTGTCCTCTAATCTCTACTAGAATAAGATAAGTGTGCATGTTTGGATGTTTTAACACTCCTGTAATGTACCTAATCTTCATATCCTTTTCATTACAGAGCTGGGAAAATGGTGTATTGATTAGATTCTGATCCGTGCAAGTCCAATTTTGACTGACTTTAGTTCTAATGTTAATGTTAATTTGACTTCAACCCATAAGTAATTATTTAAATTAACTCTAAATGTCACATGATGATGGATTAGTGTTCCACATTTCTTCCACTAATTTGTTTTACAATTAGGCCAAAGGTAAAAAGAGACATTGATGACCTTGTGTCCCTTTTGTTAGTACGTGGTTCCATTTTGTCTATGGCCTTGGACGGCTTCACTAAAAGTCACCCAGTTCTGCCCTGCTGCAGTCCGGCTGAGTGCAGTCACAGAGATGCTATGGCTGCTCTACATGACATTAATGGTCTGGTCTGAATGGACACCATTTCCTGCTCCCAGAGAGAATGACACTCCTCAAACTGAACATTACAGCCGTTGATACTGTCTCACATGGGTCTGCTCCCCCCCACTGAGCCATGAACTGAAAGCATGACATCTGCTATGAACACTTGGAAGCCTCCCTGTCACACCAGCACCAACCCTTGGGTCAGTCAGATGAGACTAACGGCTTCACTTAGGGCATTTGGTTCAAATACATGACTCTCGTTACCGCAGAGTGGGTTGTTTTTAAGGCTATTCATACTGCTATGCAGAGGATGCCTGTAAGTTGGCGAGCTGGTAAAAGCCCCTACTATTGTTTCAAATAGGCCTAATGTCAGGGGTCTCTTAATGTCTAGTTCTACATGTATTCACATTATATAGACAATGTTTCCACCTGGTAAAACTGAAGGCTGCACAAAACTCAGGCTACAATACAACCATTATGTTCTGCTCTAACGATTCAATGTATAGATTCTACATCAAAACAATTAGCTTTTATTGTTTCCAATGATAACGTCACCTTAAGTGGAGGAATGCAAACCTGTTTTCAAATGTAAGGTTTTGATTTTGTTTGACATTTCTCAGTAATGATACCTTCAGACACCCACTATCATTCATGCTATGCCTTCAGTAATAACTCAGATGTTAAAGGGATGAAACTTTTCCTCCCAAATCAGATATGCTTTGTTTTTCAACAAATGTATCAATTTCCTGCATAATATATGTTTATCACAATGGTTTTTTGTAAGCTGCACACAGGTGATACTGAGTCTTCTCGATTAATAGATTATAAACTATACCATGCTTAAATAGACTCCGAAGTTGTTATTTCATATGTACCATATGTAAGAAAAGGGAGGGAAGAGTCAATTATATTGGGTAATTTATTTATCAAACCTATGTTTTATGGAAGAGACAAAATATTTCAAAAGGTAAATGGTGAATTAATATACATTTAGAATCATTGAGAAGGGGTTATATCCACAGGGACTAGCTCACTTTTAACTTACAATAACATTTCTCTGCTATGGACTGATGAGTATATGATTCTTGCATGTTCAATGACTAACACAAACCTTCAAAATGATAATGTGCATGTGTCAGGAAGGCTCCCAAATAATTCTGAGGGGCCTATCCTATTTTTGTAATTAAATGATAATGTGCTAATCCATTACTTTGAGTTGTCTTCACTCAGAAAAACATCCCTATCAAGTGTTAACCCAATAACTAGGACAGCTCTCAAGGCCAAGGGTCAGAGAGAGAGGGTCACACTCTCCGGATGCAGAGAGCACCCCCAGCCACGTGCAAGGAAGCACGAGGTCGTTCGAGATGGGATGCTTCTCTTCACCTTTCTGATAAGAGGGGGTTCTTCTCTTCATCTTTCTGCTCGGTGGGCTCTAGCAGACAACCCTGCAGGACGAGCGAGGGTTTCAGAGGCTTCTATAATACAATGTTCCATGTTTCTTGGAGGAGTTTGATGTCTTCCTAACCTCTCCCATCACGGGGGGGACACCTGGATGCATCAGGAATACGCAGTTGTACTCAAGCAGATAGCAGAAGGAATACCGGCAGATGAGCCTCCGTCTCACTGGGGGATTAACTACAGTGCTCACTGAATGAGCCACACAAAAGCAGAGCAATTGGGGGGGTTGAATTATGGCGCTCTGATGAAGAAGAGTTTGAGCCAATCAGCACCTCAGTGCTAATCTACAGTATCAGGATGCCTTTACACACCAGACACTCGGTGTCATAAAGGGAGGAGGAGAACGAAGACTGACGGACATGTTCTTCCAGCTCTCGTACAAAGATGAACTTTGAATTGAATGACCAGATGTTTAAAGATGTACAATTAATGATTGTTTTTTATATTTCCAATGACCAGACATGTGTTAAATAGTGGTGATAAATATATTTAGTCAGATCAGATTATATTTTCACACTAAACAAAATTAATAAATAAATATTCTCAGACTATAAGGTATTGAATAATAAGGTATTTCTAATATTATAACAGATAATGTTAATATCCTTAATCATCCAGCAATCAGGCTTAACAACACAACTCTTTAATGTATTACCCATGCACAGACAGACATAAAATGATGTTTCAAGTACTGGATTCATTTCAGTTTTGGCCCAAAACAAATATTTATAATAATTCATATAACAATTATGTAGCATATTTGATCCTCAAATTAGAGAAGTATAATTTAAATAATATTGATATTGATATTGATATTCTATATTCAACATTAGATAAACACAGAAGAACCCTTTCCAAGTACCATAAGTAGATTTTCAGGTAAGTATGGCTAATAAGAATAAGTGATGGACTTAATTTGGTACAGATCAGTTGTAGCATTTACAAATGTATGAATTAAAGTTTTAAGAATGTTTAATCTTTCCTTTCCAGGTTTTTACAAAAGTCTTTGAATATTTGCCTAACTTTTCCTTTTCAGATTTTGAACAATGTACTTGACTAAAATGAATGTATTGATTTTACTAAGACTAAGTGCCTTACTCTTGACTAAAGCGTAATGAAGTAAACGTAAAGTAATCCTAAAATTGAGGACACTGCAACTTTGCCGATTACAGATTGATCAAATCACCACTGTGAATTTTATGCCTTAGCTGGATCTCTTATGATCCTAAGTTTAAAATGCTTTTGACTAGTGATTGCCTTAAAGCAAATCTTTAAGCTGTTTCTGGTTTTGATTTTATAGTTTGATAAATGACATTAACTAATGGTTTAAATGATAAAAGATATTAGTTTAAAACAAATATTTTTGCTATTATGTATCTGTGTTTTATGTGTGTTCATTATTGTGCTTATTGACAAAAGATGCTCCAAACACTGATGAGAGATAATTTTTCCTATTATGATTGCCTGTATCAATCATTGTGATTGAATGTTTCAATCTTACTCTACTTTGTGATGTAATTGAATGTAAGGTGAGACCACACTCGAATCTGAAGACGCCTATTGATTTAAGTATTGACCAGAATTATTAGACTAATGTTTTAAGGTTATCAAAAATGATAAAAAGAGAGGAACTGTTAAGGAATAATTATTCTAGATATCTAACCTTTTGCTCTGTGACGTGTTATCTCCTTTAAGGAAAGGCCTTTGTGCCATATGTGTTGTTGTCACCAGTGTGTGACCGGTCAACTTGACTGGCACGAAGGGTAATTGTTGTGGGAACACTGAGGCACTTCTTTATCGGTGTTTGTGGGCTCTAGGATGTGAAATCCTTGAGGCCATGAGCGTCGGACGCAGGTGACTCAGTGTTTAGTCTACTCCTTCAGAGATGTTGATTTCTCTCTGTGAACCCGTTAAAAGGTCTAGCATAGAGAGAGGTTCTTCAGAATTGACGTGGCAACTCTACCGTGTGGTCAGAACCTCTGACTCTTTGATTTGTGATGTGAATCCTCCGGCCGAATACTCTGAATAAACCCATCAGTGTTTGACATCAAAGCTCCAACTCTCACCGTGTCTCCTTCCTGAGTCGGTGACTCCATGCATTGCTACACAGAAGTTTCCTCCACAATGGTAAAACTACGTTTTATATACATGATGAAAAGGGCAGTACCTTAGCATTGAGAACAAGGAACAGAGGATGGTCTGGAGTGGCCTGAGCTCTCCATTGCAGCACGTCCTGTATGTACAGGAACTAAAGGGGAGAGAGACACAACAGTTTAACTCCAGAGAAATGAGACAGAACACTGACAGACAGAAACTGAGTCTATGATGAATCTCTGCACAAACAATGTAGAATTAATGGAGCATGGTGGCACAGTGTGGGTTTTTGTAATGAAAGGATGACAGATGTGATGGGCTACAGTATTTTATGATAAGGAAGAGTAATGGATGTAATACATGCTGGAAGGGAAATCTAAATGATGCTACAGTTGTTTTATCAGATAGCTCCAGCAGCGGGAAGTCCTCTCCATCAGCTGTTTGTGTTTCTGATTCCTCGCCCTCCTGTATGGATGCTTACCTGTGTACTGTATGTGTGCAGGTGATGAGAGGATGAAATGAGGATGACTACCTTACGTGCCTGGTCATTGTCCTCCAGTTGGCCCACGTCTCTCCCACAGGCCTGTGCTATCCTCTTGCCTGCCACCAGGTTACCCACTATCATAGAAGCAGGACCGACCTCTGTCCAACACATCACATTCAGGGAGGTCAGCTCTTAATAGGACATAAATATAAACACCAAGAAATGTAAATTAATCTATATTTGCTTCTAAACAAGATGCATGCTGGAAAATCTACCTGGCGGTTTTTGTCTTGGCTTGGGCAGGTTGGTGACACATGTGTGAGGGCACATGAGGACGTTGCAGGGGTGCAAGGCGCCCTCCAGGAAGCGCTGTTTGGTCTCAGATATGTGGATGCCACCCAGCGGAGCCTTGGGAAGCGTGTTGGCCGGCACCAGAGCTAGGCAGTACACCCCCACCTGGTGGATGCTGTCTATGGCCTGGAAACAGACAGGAAATATACGAAAAGTCAAGTTTTAGTTTCAGTGAACACCTTAGGGGATGCTATTCTTGTTTTTATATTATAGATTTTCTCTGTATATCTGTACATAGTAGTCAAATGTTTTGTTCAGCTTTGTTGTCCATGTTTTTAACCGTATATCTATTTCAATTTCTTGTTTGTGTACTGTACACATTGAATTGGTCATTGCAGCTGATTCTATACCATTTTATTTGATATGCTTGTGTGGATTAGAAAATAAACTTACAACTGGGACATAAAGTGACCATAACATTGGACGTGTAGTTTTCCGAAGCTTGCATTAAGGATATACTGTTTTTGTATCTTTATGTTGCAAATCAATAGCAGCCTTGACCACCATTTTTACGATATTCAAAATGTATTCACTGTCACACATTATCTCAAGGATCTGTAATTTATTTAGATATTAGTTTTAAAAACAAAATATGATATACTTGAAGGAAGAAAATGTAAACCTTGTAACATGCTGTAAAACCACTAAGTAAGGAGTAATATTAACTAAGTAGACCTGATTTTCTCTTATTCAAGTAAAACATGTGAAGCCACAGGTATAGTCCTTCAGTAATCTGTGTCTATCTGATAATAAGAGGTCAAAAAGAGCAGAGTGGGCACCTGAAGGACTCGGCTCATCCACTGGAAGCTGTCTTCTTCAGAGGCGTCCGGCCGCTGCTCCGCAACAACAACGATCCTCTCGTCATGCAGCACGGACACAGAGAACACTGCTATCCTGGAGCAGACAGCATAGAAAAGAACACTGTTACAGCCTGGGAACTACAGAACACCCATGTCAAAAGGGTAGATTAATAAAGAAGTTACATGCTACAAATGAACAGAGGAGCATTATTTTAACTGTATTATATATATTAAAACGTATTTAAATACTGGGCTGAAGAAAATAGTTGAAATCTGAAACAACAAACTGTTTTGAACAGATATTTGTGATCTCAGGTGCAAAAAGGAGAAGATTTTATGTTTAGGTTTACTCTTATGTGCATATTGTTTTACAATAGGCATTCAATTTACATGATTCTTACTTTGTTCAAGTGTTTTACATGCCAAAAGGCTTGTACAGGTTCGAGAAACAGATTAACCATAATTGATAATGGTTTGAGGTTAATCATTTTTGTACATTCGAAGATTAGAGTGAACATTGTATGCCACTTAAATTCTTAATTATCCTAATGAGCTAAAATAGGCATTACCATTTTTAAAACATTAAATAACATTCATTATTTTAAATAAAATGTCTGTACAAAAAGTAAACTAATGTTGATACAAATAAAATAACGTTTTGGGAGTTATTGAATTTCAAATGTTGCGTTTGTCTCTTTCAGAACTGTCATGGCACATTTCTTTTTTGTCTGTGGATGCACTCTCATTGGTCATGGCTCTGTTTTACTCTTTGCTTTAGCTCTGGAGCGCGTGTTGACCTCTGAGGATAAAGGCTGAGTGGGTAAGGATTCAGGAGAAGGAGGCCTGGAGAGCGGGACAAACATGGGAGGTTTAACAACTTTGTCTTGAACCTCTGTAACCCCACTCTTAGCACGTTTCTGCCTCAAGTGTTTGTCACAGGTTCACAAATGTATCCAGCTTGACAAAGGTCTTGTTGCACACTTTGCAGTGATAAGGCCGCTGTCCTTTGTTGAGGCGTATGTGCAGCCTGATGTATGATGATCGTACAAAGGTGCGGCAGCAGACCCCACACTTCAGATCCTCGCTGCTACTCGGTGTCTGTGCCGGAGCTGGCGCTGGCACAGGTTTGACCTTTCCCGACGCTTCCTCAGCCTTGTGAGAGAGCAGGAAGGGCAGAGAGCGAAAACCGGCCCCACACTGCTCACACTTATACGGCCGCTCCCCTGTGTGTAGGCGAACATGAGCCAGGAGCCCAGCCTTCTGTGTGAACGACTTGTCACAGTAGGTGCACTTGAAGGGCTTCTCGCCTGTGTGGAGCCGCTGGTGGGTCTTCAGATGTGAGGCCCGGCCGAAGGTCTTGCCACACTCCGAGCATTTAAATGGCCCGCTGTGTATTATCTTGTGTGCCATCAGGTGGGAGTACTTGCTGCAGGTGATACATCTGAATTTCCTCTCCTTGTTGTGGGATGCCAGGTGAAGGGTCAGGTGGGCGGAGGAGATGAATGTTTTGGAGCACAGGCTGCAGCTGTGAGGGTCCAGGCGGAGGCGGCGGTGTGGGCGCCGTCCGTTAGGGAGGCTGCTGCCTGCCTGGCAGGATGCACACTTGGAAGGAGGGGAGGAAGTGGAGGTTGTGTCAGAGTCCAGCTGTGGAAGGCTGCATCGACAGTCCGAGCACTGCCCAGTCTGTTGGTCTTTAGCACTGGTTTTATTCAACAGGGGCTGCGTTTCACTTCTCTTATTTTTCATTTCCTCGCTCCTCGGTCTCTGTCTCACCGGAAGTTGATTTGTCTGCGCCATCTTGAGTAGCGTCCCAATGGCCTTATTTTTGCCGGAGGAGCGAGGAGCGAGGAGCGATAATGGAGGAGCTATAATCGAGGAACCACCAGACCATCCTTCGATTAAATCCTCAGACACTCGCCCCGCCCCCTTACTGTGTATCGCTCACTAATTGGACGATGCAGCGCATGCAATGATCTGATGCTTCTTGACATGAGAGCAGTTTCCCAGCAGAGTGAAGAAAACACATGAAACTCACGGTTTTGTTTCAATTAATGTATCATGTAGTTACAAATATGTGATATATCTGAACAACAAAGTGGTCAAAAATAATTGTATTCATTTATTGGAAACATTTTCATGATCGCTTTTTTCGTTTTACATTTTCATTTATTGACATTTCCATTCAGTCAGTCATTAAGTGCTATTTAAAATGTTAATTTGCTACATATCCACACAAACAAACTAAGTGTGCAATCCAATGAATGTTAATCTAACTGGGTTTTGATAGATAACATATCTCTTTTTCTTCTCTCAATTATTTTATTTCTATTGTGCACTCTAATCAATATTAATCCAACTATTGTTCGTTTATACATTTTAAGAATGGCGTTCATCTTTTTTGAGAATGAGTTCTTATTTGATTTTATTTATTTGGGTCTACAACAGATGATACAAATGTTTGTGTCAGTAAATGTGTACTAACAGAGGCGGGGATGTTTGTAAGTAACGGGGACAGAGCTGCTGTCAGATGATCAGCTGTGCAGCGTCATCACAAACGGACGTCGCTTCACGTGACGCTCCGGAGGAAAGGACGTCCCATAGAGTGGCGAAGTCACGCCCATCTACTTCCGGTCCATAGGACCTTATTTCGGAAAAATAATGTATTGAAGTCAATGGAGAGAGAAAACGTATCTTTCGATCCCGTTTGAATTGTGCCATGAATTACACATATGATGTTTGTCAATCTTAAAAGATTTCCATGTCAAAAAAGTAACAGTTTGTCGTAAAACTGTTGAAATATAAGACTATGAAAAATACGCAACTAGAAAGACTACAAATCCCAGAGTCGCGTAAGTGATTGTTTTCCTCCACTAAGAGATAGCTAAGATCAGCGCCATATAGATAGAATCTATCTATATGGCGCTGGCTAAGATAAGATAACTTTAACAAGATGCCTGTGTGCTTAGTACCAGGTTGTTATCATACCAGCAATGGGTCTTGCTCGTTCTTTCGCTTCCCGTCTGATGAAAGGACCAGGAGTGTCTGGATCAAGCTAGCTAGTAGCTAGCACGTTAGTTAGCATTACAGCCTTGTCATTTTTATTAGCCTTAACATGAAGTAACATGAAGTAACCCAACATGTTAAACAGTAAGAGTAGTAGTCATATTTCGTGAACCCTTTGAAGAGTACTGTCACCGGTGTGATCATTCTATAATACACAATTTAAGCCCGGGGGAGAAATGCTAACGCTAACGCTAGCATCGTCGATCTTCTCTACTTCATGCTATCTGCACAAATGGTTGACATTAAACATTAAAAAGACCAGGCGGTTCAGAGAGAATCAAAGGAAGGCAGGCAGGCAGCTTTGCATGACATTCTTCAGAACGTGTTTCATTGTGGTGATAGTGAGGGTAGTCAATCGTTTTGTTGACAAGACAGTAGTGACGGCCATCTTGGTGACGTGTGTTGTTCTGTGAGACCAGAGATGTAGTTCATTGAGCGTTTCACACAAACAAATGTGTTACTTCACAGTTTTACGACACATTTTTTTTTTTTTTACTTGCAAAATTATCTTTTCAATTGACAAACATCATATGTGTAATTCGTGGCACAATTCAAACGGGATCGAAAGATAATCTTTCTCTCTCCATTGACTTCAATACATAATTTTTCCGAAATAAGGTCCCATGGAGGTCCACCGGAAGGGGAGGGACTTCGCCACTCTCTTGCTCTTAAAACTCATTTCCCTGCTTCTCGTGGTTTCCTTGCGTCTCTCCATGCTTCCCTGGTGGGAGGGACTAGTCGCAGGGAAACAACGCAAGTGAGGGACGCAAGGAATCCATTTAACCGAAGTGAAACGCAGCCATGGTGCTATCTACATTACCACAGAGCGAGGGGCGGGGTTTTCATTCTGTGACACATCATAGGGACATCTATGGAGCTAATTTCCTGCCATAACTCCACAAACAAACTAAACAGGTTTTACAAATGCCTCATGATTCACTAACAAACACAATGTGGTTTGCAAATACAAAACACCATCTACAAACTAATGCATTTAGTTTTGCAAAGAAAAAGCGTATTGTAGCGACCCTGCATAGGGTGCTGGGTGTGTCACTCAAGCGTCCCCCGTCTCTCTGCCAATCACGGAGCTGCACAGTAATGCTGGTCGGTGTGCGGGCCTGTGGTTGGGGGAGCAGAGGGGGGAGGGATGGGGTGTCGTGACGTTGACCCTGCTGTGTGTGTGAGTTAGGGAGTGGAGTAGAGAGTAATGACAAACCTGTAACCTGTAACCTGAGCTGGATTCTATAACCGTAAGCGAACAAAGGAGTTATTAAAGCCAATCACTGGAAGCCTGTTTCCGACTCCCTTTGTCGAACGTTACAGTATCTATCAAACAAACACATAACATTTTTCCAATACGGCGGAATATTACTGCCAAAAGTCGTGACTTTTGGCAGTAATATTCCGCCGTGAGAAGAAAAAGTTGTGTACTTGTAAAAAAAAGTGTTGTACTTGTAAAAAAAAGTTGTGTACTTGTAAAACCTATGCTGAATTTGTCTCTGAAACATGATATATTAGAAAAATGTTATGTGTTTGTTTGATAGATACGTTTTTTCTTTGCAAAACTAAATGCATTAGTTTGTAGATGGTGTTTTGTATTTGCAAACCACATTGTGTTTGTTAGTGAATCATGAGGCATTTGTAAAACCTGTTTAGTTTGTTTGTGGAGTTATGGCAGGAAATTAGCTCCATAATGTACCGGGAAATGACGATTAGGGGTTGGACATCAGCAGCCTTTATAAATAGGAGAACTGAGGAAACATCATTTATTTGGCAAACTTGGCAAAAGCTGAACCGAACGGACAACTCTTCAAATATGAATGAGGTAGGCCTACTGTTGTTTCCATTTTGATGTTTTACTTTTGTGTTATTTTTATTAGCATCTAATTAAATAAAAGTATGTTTTAGGTTATATATGAGGAAATCTAACAATTTTTATAGAGGACTATTTTGATACCAGTGAAATAAAAAGGTTCTGATTTATACAGATTAAGAAAAAGTATTCATGCTCATACTTCATTCACCATCCCTGTATGTATAATTAGCATTTATTTTTTTGCATTTTATTGGTTCATTTCCTGCTTTGGGGTTGGGCTTTATTCTTTGTGAGACAGTCGCAATATCCACCACAGAGAGGCTGCAGAAAAAGAGAAGGAAAAGTTGAAAAAACAAATAATTTAATTTTTTTGTTACAAAAACTGTTGGCAGCTTATTCTTTAAAACAGAAGCCTCAGATTGCTGCTCAGTCTAGCTGGCGAGCACCAACCAGATTCATTTTTTTAAATATATATATTTAAGAAGTACAATATATGACAAGGGGCCATTATACTTTTAGAATTTGTTTAGTTTTTTACTTTTATGTTATTTATGCAGTTGGCCCCCGGTCCGTAGTTTGGACATCCCTGGTCTAGAGACTGCCTTCATCTCCTAACTTTAAAGGTGGGGTAGGTAAGTTTGAGAAACCGGCTCGAGATCGCTAGAATTTGAAAATACACAACCGGAGAAAATCTGCCACTTCCTTATAGAGCCCCTCCTCCAACACACACAAACGCGCACATGACCAATGAGGGCACGAGATAAGTTTGTGTACAGATGGAAAGCTGACAGACAGACAGGCCATCCAGTTATTTTAGCCGGGCCGGCTAAAATGATTGGTCGTGCTTTTTACAGTACTACGGCTTCCACAGATGAAATTTTTGTATGGATTGTTTGTCATAGCACTTAAATATTCATTGCTATCGGGATGTTAAGAGCATTCCATGGAATATAACAAAAAGTGTATCTCGAGCCGGTTTCTCAAACTTATGAAGCATGAAACAAAAGCAATGTGTCATTATGTATCTGCTGATTGGTGTGCAATGGGTTTGAGGTCAACACAACTCAACGGAGGAGAGATCACACTATAGAAAACTAACATATGTGCAGAGGAGCTTGTGACATTTCTAATATGTGTGCCAGCGGGTGTGGTCATCACATATGAATAAAAAGGGACGTTGTTTCCTGCAAGCTAATGCACATTTTTTTAATCCCTTACAGCATCTTTATCAGGAGGGATGAGTTCGAATACTAAGAAAAAAAAAAGTCGGTGAGTTTCAACTGTCTCTTAACCCGCAGCTCAGGGAGTGCCCTGATTTGTTTTTTGGAGTGCTTTTTTATTTATTTATTCATTTATTTAAAAGGGACAGTGCACATTAATTAACATTTCTGTAAATGTGCCAGAGTTAGCCAAGAAGCTATTTTTCATCTGTAGTCCCTGGACAGATTTAGTAACTCACCCTAAAGACACATTTCATGTTAGTGTTTTGATTTTGTATGGGAAAAAAATATCACCTTATATTCAATTGTACATTATTGTTCTTACTTTTTAAACTTCCTAAGCACCATCATGTTGTTATTCAAAGTGCTGTGTGATGCTGTAGAGCTTATTTGCGTGACTGATTATACACAACACATGTATAAATGACATACATTAATTTAACACATGCTACACAATTCAAAATTCCTCTCCGTACAAGTCATGTTTAAGTGGCATTTTATCAATTCATTGTAAGGGCAAAGTCACAAATAATATACTTAATATTATGGGTCGCATTACATTTTCTTGGCAACATATATATCATCCTCATCTTACTTCAAGTAAACACTTCGACCCTATGGCTAAAGATTAGTCAAAAGTACCTGCTGGTTGAACTTGTTTCAAATTTCAGCTCTTCGTACCTTGTTTAAAGAAGACTCACCCTGCAAGGATTTTAACTTTTGTTCATCACTCTTTTATCCTCATGTTTGGTTCAGAACGTCCTTCGGGGCAACAGCACCGCCCTTCATTGACTACCTACAAGATATTCTACGACGATATCCAGATGGTGGACAAATTTTGAAGGTGGGTTAAATGCTCTAATTTTACCCAACACTATGTACTAATAAGAATGATAAAGGGGTATTATACCACCCTATCAGGTACAATAAAAGCATCAGACAGGTGAGGGAATGCCGAATCAAGTGCAGTTTGTACACACCTACACAGTGAGAGGGAAGTCCATTAGGCAACTTAAGTGAAACGCATGTAAAGGTGGAATAATGGTGTGCAGGGGCGTTAACTTTGCTCTTGTGTAGCCCCGATTTGGAGCTTGTCATGCTCTGTTAATGGTAATTGATTTGAATGTATTTGTCAACAGGAGCTGATTCAGAATGCAGATGATGCTAAAGCCACGGAAGTGGTTTTCATACACGATGACAGAAGCTATGGGACTGAGAGCCTGTGGACTGATGAATTGGGAAAATACCAAGGTATGTGGGATGGGGAGGTTGTGGCGCAGTGGGGTAGTGCGCCGATCTTTGGCTCAGGGGAGAGCTGGTTCCAGTCCCACTGTAGTGTTATGTTAATGTAATAATGTTCATAAAATAGCCATGTTCTATAGTGGTTATCAACATCAGTTTTTATACATTTAAAGGATAAAGGAGAGGTAGCTTGATGACATAGTGTTGAGGCTTCTAATGAAAAGGTGTAATACTCAAATGTCAGTCCTGCTCAGCTCCCCCTTTGGAGTCTTTAAGTTATGCTTGTTTTCATGTGGGTTTCCTCCCATAGTCCAGTGTGGTTTACCAAAGAGAATGTGTGTTAAGTATTACCACTCAATTCCTCTTTTTTGTCAATACCAGGCTTCTCACCCTTCGAGCGACCCTTAAGTACATGATCACTTGATAAGATGGCATTAGGGTCTAAAATGCTATGTTGTTTATTTTCATCAGTTAAGGCAGTGTAGCTACACCGGTCCAATAAATAAGGCCACGAACATACTGATGTCTTTTTTGAAGGTTTATTCTCTCCCTCTCGCTCTCTTTCTCCGAAGACAACGTGTAAAGAAATGAACAGTTGAAAGTTTACATTAAATCGTAACACCTAACACATTAGCAAAATCAAAGCACACACTAAATATTAACACACATATCAACAAAAGAGAAACATTTACCGTGTGCGCCTCTTGAACCCTGTAGATCAGGGGTTTTCAAAGTGTGGGAAGGTGAGCCTCCCCTCAGAGAACATAAGAACAGCCGCGCCCCCCCTCCCAATTATTATTGCTATTATTATTATTATTATTATTATTATTATTATTATTATTATTATTTAGTGGGAATGCTGATATAGCATTCCAACTATATGTTATGCTACGGACAAAATTCTTATTATTATTCCGCCGACTTATTTTGGCCCTCTTCTCCTCCCACATTCAACATCGCAGAAACTCCGTTCAAACATCAAAACGTTCAGCTCGGTCGGGAATCGCAGGCTATTACTTTTATCATTCATAACTTTCATAATTCCAGAGATACATCCCATAATTCATCACATTTTTAACATGGAAGTCAATGGAGACATTCTTCAGACTTCAACAAATCTTCATGCGACTTCAACTGCTAACTGTTCATTCATACTTTCACTCAGAAACCTCATTCCAACTTTAAAATGTTACACATCTTTCTGACATTATTCGTGTAACACAACTTTTAAATCCGATTCTTACTTTTAGAGATATTAAACATTGTTCAGACCTTGTTAAAGAGGTTTTCTTCAGATTTTAACATTAACTAGAGTGTGTGATGTCACAGCTAGAGTGTGGGAATTCTTGAAATGTGCCTTCATATTTTTTTTTAAAACTGCCATAATTCCCAAACCCTACATTCTTGAGACATCATTTTCTCATGACAAACGTAGGAAAACATCTCGTAGCTTGAAAAATGACAAATAATTAAGCAAAAATAATTAAACAAAATGCCTCTTGAGGGCATGAAGTGACAAAAACTTTCAACATGTCTCCATTAAAGCCCATTGTAATTTCAGGCAGATATTTCCTCACAGCAGCAGCCGCACACCTTTAGTTAAACTGCAAAAAAGGCCACATTATTAACCCGAAAGTACACAAAAATTACACTTCAGATACTCAACTTCCTTGACATGCTTCACGTTTTGAAATTTCACAGATATCTGTTACGGTTCTTCGACAAAACGTTCACATGTAACAGGTTTATCTCTCATTCAGAACAATGGAAACCTTTGATCTCTACAGAGCTCGTTAGCTCAACTATAAACACCTGTGTAATGGAACACGATGATGTCATCACTCCAACTGACATGCTCAGAGCAGCAGACTTCAGATAATGGTTAATGGTCGTGCCCTCAACAGCTCTACGTCAATTATGGGGTGTCATCATATGCCGTTCAAGAGAAGAGAGAGAGGGCGATCAAGAGTCAGTTCTAACTGTTCATTTCATTCTCTCTCTCTATCTTCCTCTTCCTCAATATCTTCCTCTTCCTCAATATCTTCCTCTTCCTCAATATCTTCCTCAATATCTTCCTCTTCCTCAATATCTTCCTCAATATCTCCTCTCCTCTCCTCAATATCTTCCTCTCTCTCTCTCTCTCTCTCCTCATCATCTCTCTCTCTCCTCGTCTCTCTCTCTCTCTCTCTCTCCTCTCTCTCTCTCTCATCTTCTCTCTCTCTCTTCTCTCTCATCTCTCTCTCACTCATCTCATCTCACCTCACTCACTCACTCACTCACTCACTCACTCACTCACTCACTTTTGTTGTTGTTATTGTTGCTATAATGTAGGGGGATTATTATCCAGTGGAATGCCCTTATCTACTGGCCTAGTTAAATCAAAGTGGTTACTTTTTTTGGCTGGGCAGTGTAGTTTTACACACCGTCTTATTTGACTTTCTCAAGACTTAAAACTGTTTTTTGGGGGCAGACCCCCACAAAGAAAAAAATATATTTACACACGTAAGATCATCATCTTAACAGTTTTTTATGCTCTTCGAGTCATCCGTGAGCAGAGCATCAAGTTGGCATGCCTATAACAGCTGAATGCGGCGATTACCATCTTGTTCAGCAAAACGCCTCACAAACTTATTAAGATCTAAAGCTTTAGTACGTTTTGATTCAATGCTGAGTACAGCCAAACTTCACAGTCTCTTCTCTGTCATTGTAGACCGCAAATACCTCATTCCTTCCGTCTACTTGGGGTCCGAATGCGCCGTCCCGTTCAAATGAAATCGCTGCCAATCACATTTCCTCGCTCGCGCCAGGGCCGGGGGAGGGGTTACAAGGCTTGCGTCTTGTGCTGCATTCACTTGCACTCGGACATGAGGGATTTTCTCTCATAAATGTCCGATGAGCCACAACTTTTATTTCAAAACAAAGCTGACATTTTCTGCCAGTCTCCTCTTTCACTTTAGGTAACTTCACTAAAAATCGATCCATGTTGCCGCTCGCATACAGATGTAGCACTCCAGATAGGACTCCAGCTTACAGCTTCCTGCCTAAGACCTGCCTAAGACCAGCGTCTGGGAATGTTAAGCCCTCCCACTATTTTCCAAGAGGGCGTTGCCAGATTTTCAATTTCAGGATTTAACCAGGGGATGGCGCTTCATTCACAAATACAGAAAGACAACTTTTCATGGACTTTCAGTTGTGTTTTGAAGAGCATTTGAACACATCAATATTTTAGATCAAATAAAGTATATCTAATCTTGTAATTCAATAATTTTTAGTCTTTATATATTAAATAATCATAATAAAAATGTAAATGTTTACATTACACTTCTTTATTTGTCATGCTCATACTTTTACCTTTACAATCGTTTGCTTTAATATGCAGTATATTTTTTGTATATACTGTATGATTTATTATTATTATTAATATGAAGATATTATTAAGATAAGATGTTACTTTATTGATTGAACATTTTAGTTTAGAATGTGCTATCCCACGGTAATTCAGAAGGCTCACAGGTCACATTCCGACCATTATTTAAAACAATAGGTGCTTTCACACCGTCTACAGTTTGATTTGTATAGAGCTGTGGCTGAATAGCCGGCGATTAGGTGTGGCGCATTTATCATTAGGTGATCAGAGCTGCCTGCCTGCCGTCAGATTTCATTTAAAAAACAGTCTGATTTTAAGACTATTTCTGCGCTCATAAAGAATGATAAGAATAAGAATAATGCGTATTGAACTGGTTTAATTAATTAGTGAGTTTATTTAAGGTAATTAGGTAGAAGCCCTTTTTTATCAGTAATACATTTAGCAGTTGAACATAAAAGTCAACTAACTGAGTGTCACTTGCAATGACAGTGTTGTGTTTTTATTTTATGAACCTTTTACATTAAAAATGGTTGTTGAATATATAAATATTATTATGAATATGGATAAATACTAGGCTATTTATTATAAACATTAGTCCTTAACATCTATCACTGTGTATATCACCATTCTTTAATTAAATGTTTGATAAGTGCATGCAGATCACAGTACAGTAAAACATGTAGGGCCTACTTAACCCCAAATAAAAGAACCCAATAAAAAGAGTTGTTAAATAATAGTGAAGTCACGTTGTAATAACAATAACTCATCTCTTGGTTTGAGTGTTCTTTTTCTGCTTGTGTCAAGTGTCTAGTGACTATTTTTCTTAGCGGATGCATGTCAATTTAAATCAATACATACAACTATTTTTTAAATCAATAAAAACATTTTCTAAATCCATAAAAGCATTTCAATTAATATTGGGAGTCATGTCGTTACTTTGTTGAGAATGTGGCCATGTAATAAGCGGGATAATTTGCAGCGACTTGGTCATTATGGGGAAAATAACACCCGTCGGGATCCTGATCTGCCTGACAAGGCTCCATTAAAATATAAATATTTTTAGTGAATTACTGAGTTTAGGCACGTTAATAACGTTTTAATGAAGTTGAATACAGAATATTCATATATGTCAGTGATTTCATGTCAATTCGGCAAACATAAACATAAATGATCGTGGTGAAGGTGATGATTAAATTAGGATTACAAATCGAGAGCCGGCTGCATTTCCTGTCGTTCGTTTTTTTCGACTAAACAACATTATTTTGTTAAATAACAACATGGTGATGTTTTGTAAATTATTACATGTCTCTTATTTAGCACAGAGTATGATCCTATCCGTGACATATGGATCTTAACAAAGATCCGCTATACAGTAGTACCAGACATACTGTACATCCAGCGTACTGTATCAGACTTTATTTCACATGAGCTCCAGTGTGGAACCCCACTGCACCCCCTGGTGGATCAATGATCCATTGCAGCTGGCTTCATTATAATTACATTTATTTATCACGGGGGCGGTCTCAAGTCAAGCTGGAGGTTTTCGCTTGATCGAGGGCAGAACCCGTGCCGACCACGGCCCTCGCGTTTCAAACTGTCCTAAATTAGGTGCTACATCTGTAAAGTTAGCTGAAGTTAACTAGCTAGATTTCACTGTTTATCTTTATTTATTTTTCTCACGCTGCGCTTCCCCTGAAGCCCAGGGGAGGCACGCCTCACACTTTGAAAACCGCTGCTGTAGATTGTAGGCTTGTTTGAGACAAGCGAGACCTGCGCAGACCTGCGCAATTGCGATCAACGTCTTGCTAGTGCATTGCATGATGGTTAGTCATTTTGTCCGACTTGCTCTGGAGGCTCGCCTACATGAGACGTTGAAATCTCGCGGGACAAAGACGCCCGCAGACTTGAGAGCGAGGCGCGGCGAGGCGGCGCAGTTTCTCTCCACGGGCTGCGGAAGCGAAATGCTTGATGGGAAACGACTTGCTGGTATCTCGAGCTGAGCGCTCATTGGTGGGTTTTACCCCGTGCTGGGGATGAAACTCTCCATTGGCTCGGCAAAAGTGTGTTGTTGTTTTGTCTCAGTTTTACGTCGCCACTTCCATTCACATTTTTCATCATTGTTCCACAATGTTTATCATCATTAAATTAATATCTATATATTTGTATACTATACTTGCACTGCTTACCGTTGTCATACTTTATATATCTTAGCATATTCATACAACACACTGTTCATACTAGGCTAGGCTACTGTGTATAGTGTATTCATACCCCTCACTGTTTATTCATCATTCAATTCATTCTATATTTTATTCTGTAGATTGTGTACATTACTTTTCACTTTACTGCTTTATGCACTCCTGGTTAGAAGCTAAACTGCATTTCGTTGTCTCAGTACCTGTAATCTGTGCAATAACAATAAAGTTGAATCTAATCTTGAGCAGGAACAAATGTATTTACTTAGTACATATCTGACATTAACGATTAAACACATTTGTCCATTCTTTATCAATCAATCAATGTTTATTTATATAGCCCAATATCACAAATGTTACATTTGTCTCAGTGGACTTCACAGTTTGTACAGAATATCAGTATGACAATACGACACCCTCTGTCCTTACGTTTCACATCATACAAGGAAAAACTTCCAGAGAAAAACCCACAGTTTAAAGGGGAAATGGAGAAACCTCAGGGAGAGCAACAGAGGAGGGATTCCCTCTCCCAGGACGGGACAGACGTGCAATAGCATGCCGTGTGCATTTATAAATTGCAAACAGAGTCAAGCCGACTGGCCGGATGTGGCAGTTAATGCACCTTAAAGGGTTGTTTTGAAATCCGCCAAAAACCTGATATGAAAAGAAGAAGAAAGAAGAAGAAGAAGAAGAAGAAGAAGAAGAAGAAGAAGAAGAAGAGAAGAAGAAGAGAGAAGAAGAAGAAAAGAAGAAGAAGAAGAAACAGAAGAAGAAAAGAAGAAGAAGAGAAGAAAAGAAGACAGAAGAAAGGAAAGCGCATCAGACTCCTAAGCCGCCAAGACAGACGCCCCGCAGAAAAGAGAATCCGTCAACTCCTCCGAATCCATGACGACGCACCTAAGACAGAAGAAAAGCATAAGAAGAAGACTCCGAGCTTGTCCGACTTCAGGCGAGCTTTTTGAGACCTCCCCCGGCTGCGATCGGCTATTCTCGTCTACTTTCGAGGCGAGCCGCAGCTCGTCTCAAACAAGCCTTATGCCAATGGCATGCGTTGCCATGGAAATGCCTTCTGACCTGACTGTGGTCATGTGACTCACCGACCACATCCCAAAGGTGAACCATTCTACATTTCGCTATCCAGATAATACTCTACATTTTACAATTGTCTAATTACACTCAAATTTACAAAATCATAAATTGATAAGAAATGCACACAAATGAACATCCAAATATAAACATTTCTCAGACCGTTACAGGCAGTTTCTGCATTTTATGTTACCTGTAACATATACAGTAAACAGTAGTCACCACATTACACTAAACACCACAACATTACTATATTACTGAAATCAATCAAAGGTTCTCAATTTGAAATTGAGAGCACTGTACAGCACAGAAACATATGTTTACACCCTCAACCTTTCCTATATTTCTAGCCCATTTAATATATGCATGGATAGCATCCAAAATAAGCAATTATAGAGACCGAAGAAAATTAAAGAACATGCACAAATGCTCTGATCTAATGTTTAAAGCACTTTTTTTTCTTCGAAGGTCCTGCTCTCTATGCATACAACAATGCAGCCTTCACTGATGAGGACTGGGAGGGAATTCAGATGGCAGGGAGGAGTGTGAAGCGCAATGACCCAAACAAAGTTGGGAGGTTTGGAATCGGCTTCAACTCTGTTTACCACATAACAGGTAAAACTACATAAAGATACAGATGTAAACCCGATTGTCTCAGTTTAAGTTTTAGTTCTTAAAGAAAATGCAGTTACTAAATATGACAATGTTGATCCACTTTCTTCACAGATGTGCCCAGTATATTCAGTTCAGATCACCTCGGCATGATGGACCCCCAGGAAAAAATATTTGGACAAAGAAATAGCGGGTTTTTGTGGTCTTTGGATGATGCAAAACACCAGAAAGCTCTAATAGAGATGCATGACCAGTTCCAACCTTTTCGAGATATAGTTTCATTTGTTGGCAGAAAAGAATGGTCAACAGTCATCAACGAGGATCAACACTTTGACGGGACAATTTTCAGGTTCCCTTTGCGCAAAGAGGCATCAGATATTTCAGATAATCTCTATGACTCTGACAGGGTGGTTGAGCTTTTTGATAGCTTCATTGCGGATGCAGATTTAAATCTCCTGTTCCTGAAAAATGTGACCTCTGTTTCCTTGAAACATATCAACATCTATGGCGCCGTTAAAACCAGACTTGAAGTGAAATCCTCAATCTCCACAGATGTCGTTCTGGAGTCAGAAGACGATTCAATCATTGAGAGTTCAACAAGATTCAAAGTAATAACCCTCAACTCAGAAGACCACAAAGAAACAAAATGGCTTTTAACAACATGTACCATGAAAGAAGGAAATGTAGAACATCTTGATTCACTTGCGAAAAAGTTGAGCTTTTTCCCTCAAGTTGACTTGGCATTCCCTTGTGGTGAGAAGAGAGACAGTAGTGAGAGCAGATTGAGCTGCTTTCTCCCCCTACCAAACAATGAATCCAATAACACCGGACTCCCAGTTTATATCAACGCGTGCTTTGGCCTCACAGACAACAGAAGAGAGATCAAGTGGCAAGAGGAAGACCAGCAACATGACGAACATGCTGTGTGGAATGAATTGCTGATGAAGGAGGTGCTACCACAGGCATACATCATGATCATTCAAGATGCTATCAACCTTGCACAACAAGATAATCTGCCTGTCTCTTCAGTGTACGATCTGTGGCCAGATATTGCCCAGATAAAGCACAAACGCAAATGGTATGCCGTTGCTCTGGATGTTCTTGATCACTTATTCAGGCAGAATGTGGCTGTCCTCTCTCTTGCCAAAGATGAAAGAGAGTTTATCACTCCATCAGAAGCTGTGTTCCCCTGTAATGGTGCAACAAGCAGTGACATATTGGCTGCAATTAAAAGGACTTTGGTTTCCTGTGGAGAGAATCTTGTCACCTTACCAGGTAGTGTTGCAAGCGCTATAAATGAGGCCTATCCACACCTAGACACCCTAAAACACGTGACTCCAGCTTTCATAAGGGGCTCGCTCCGCAGGATTGACGTGCACACTATCTCTAAACATGACAAACTCTGCCTTTTGGAGTTCATTTTAAGTGATGGAAAATACAGAGAACTGGAAGGTCTTCAGCTGCTTCCGCTCGACGATGGCTCCTTCAGATCGTTCACAGACAGAGAGGAGGACACTGCTTTGATTGACAGCAATACATTTCCAAGGTAGGTTTATTTTCTTTTTAGATGTTTTTTCTCTTTTATTTACTACTACATCTATACTAAGTTTAAATGTTGCCCAAATCCAATCTTAGAATAAGTACAGATTGGTAAAAACAATACAATTGTATTTATTGGAAAATATATTTAATGCATCTCAACTTAAATGATATACAAATGTCTTTGTTTTTGTTACATGCCGATTCAACAAATGTATCTTTTGTCCAGAGTCTTGCTACCATTCTGCAAACACCTCTTCATCCCCAATGATCTCCGTCCAGCCTGCAGTGCCCACCTAAAAGAACTGGCCAGAGAAAGTAAGAGAAATCATTTTATAGTATAGCGATTTAAAAATGCATAACATCTGTCATATGTATGTATTCACTCACTAATGAATGTATTTAAACAAATGTTCCAGATATTTTCAAGGTCATCAACATTGACGCAAAACGGGTGGCTGAATATACAAAGAGGTTTTTGCCACAGGACTGGAAGCAGATGAGCAAGGGGCATGTTACCTGGGATGTCAGCAGCAATCAACATCCACCTTTAGAGTGGCTCCAAGAGTTCTGGACATTTCTCAACACTCACTTCAAAGAGTTAAGTCATTTCATTGGATTGCCATTGATACCAGTCAGTCCCCTGTCAGTCAGTCAGCCAGTATCACTAGCTACACTAGAGCAGAAGACAACCTTAATTTTTCAGAAAAGGAAGCAGATGATCTTGCCAGAAAAAATAACTGAGTTGGTGAACAAACTTGGTGGCACAGCGGTAAGAGAAAACGACTGGCTCAAACACGAAGACCTTGACTCATATGTGCTTTGCCCATCTCCAATGAGTGTCATGAAAGTATTGGTGAACCTAGATTCTCAGAATCTCATCAGAGATCTCAAAACTGCCTCTCACGGAGCACGAGAAGAACTGAAAGATTATCTCTCTCGTCTTGATTGTCTCTCAGTTACTGAGAAAGATGTACTCTCAAAGTTGCCTCTGTTTCAAACCATGAATGGATCATGTGCTGCAGCTCAATCAAAACAGGCTGTGCTTCTGATGTCTGGTCTAAAGGTACCAACAGATTTCCCTATGCCTGATTCAGTTGTGCGGTGTGCAACTGAGGCTGATCGCAGTCTGTTACAGCTGCTCAAAGTTAAACTTTTGGACACTGCTGAAGCAGCTCATCTCCTTATTGGCTGTATTGAGAGCAGGGCTTGCAGAAGAGAAGACACTGAGAAAATCATGACTTGGATTTTACAGAATGGAGCTATCCTTTTCTCTCAAAATGAGACCTTGAAACACAGATGTAAGGATTTGAGCTTCATTGAAGTGAATGGAGAACTGAAAAAACCCTCAGCCTTTTTTGATCCAAGAATTAAAACCTTTAAAGTGATCTTTGAGTCAGATTTCTTCCCTCCACCTCTATACACTGGCACATCGCAGATGCTTCAAAGCCTAACGGATCTTGGCTTACTAAACAAAGAAGTAGATGTGTCACCGGAGCACTTCTTGCATGCTGCCACACTGATTGACAAAGCGCATGTTGACTCTCAAACTGAGGCTCTTAATAGAGCTCAGGTGCTCTTGAAGATGTTGGATACTAATGATCTGTTTAAGTTTTCTCCTGAGCAGCCTCATCGCATCAACATGCTGAAATGGATCCCATGTACTAAGCCTGGTAATGATAAAACGTACGGCAATGACACATCTCAGAGAAGTTGTTTCTTCTGCCCTGATGAAACAAGACATTCTGATTATGAGGACATTGTTGAGCATGTAATGCCTCTGGGTACTTTCAGTGACAGAGTTAGCAGCCAACTTGGTCTCAAACGCCTACCCCCACCTGAAAAAGTGATAGAGAATTTGTCTGCTCTGACATCAAAAGCACAGAAAATGACTGATCCTAACACAAATGTGGATTTTAAAAGAAAGCTGCATAGCATTTACAAACACATGCAAGACCACATAAATGAATTTGCAAGGAAGATGAAAAAGGATACACACTGGCTGTGGAGCCACGACCAGTTTGTATCACCACAGGATCTGGTTCTAGACTACCCACGAAATCTTGATCTGAGTTCTTATATTAGGAAGGTTCCAAATGAATTTTTGCCATACAAGAAGTTGCTTCAGGAGTTTGGACTAAAAACATTGCTTTCAGATCAAGAAATTGTTGGCATTCTCCATTCTATCCAGAAAACCATTGAAGAAACCCAACAGCCTTTTGCAAGTTCCTCTGAGGTAAAAGTGTCAATAGAGATTCTTAAGTGGCTGTGGAAAGAGAAGAAGACGGTTCAGGATGACATCCCAGTGCCAGTTCTCATTCAGGGTGAACAACATACCCTTAAACCACTGTCAACAGCAGTCTTCTGTGATGTGAGCAAAAATGGGTTGAATGAGATCAAGTACAGCCAGGAGGAAGTTCATGTTGTACATGAAGATATCACAAAAGCAGCTGCTGAATGGTTTAACATCCGATTTCTTAGTACCTACATTCTCGATCCAGAGTTAGTGGGAATAGAACAGTTTGGACAATCTGAACCGATAACGACGAGGATTAAGAACATCCTTAAGGAGTATGATGAAGAAAGAGACCTCTTCAAAGAGATCATTCAAAATGCAGAGGATGCTGGGGCAGAAGCCTGCAAGTTCTTGGTGGATTTACGAGTGCACAAAGACTCCCCTGAAAGTCTCATTGACCCTGGCATGGCCCTTTGTCAGGGACCTTGCCTTTGGGCATTTAATAATGAGCAATTCACAGCTGAGGATTGGAATAATATTGTCAGAGTTGGCTCTGCCTCAAAAGAAAACAAAGTGGAAAAAATTGGAAAGTTTGGACTTGGATTTAATACTGTGTATCATGTAACAGATGTTCCTTCTATCCTGAGTGGCAACAGTCTTCTCATACTTGATCCAAATGTAACCCACCTCACGAAACACATCAAACATAAAACAAATCCTGGACTCAAGCTGGATCTCTCAAAGCAACATCTTTTCCATTGCTTTCCTGGTCAGTTTGGACCATATGAACGCATTTTTGATTGCAATTTCAGAAGCCAAAGTCCCCCTGAACCATATCCAGGTACTCTGATCAAACTACCTTTTCGAAATGAAGAAGAGGCTATCATGTCAGAAATAAGTGAAAAAGTGTTTAACAAACAACAAATCATCACTTTTCAACAGCACTTTACAAACAATTCACAAACGCACCTGCTGTTTTTGAAGAACATCAATATGTTATCTTTACAAAGTATCTCAAACAATGCATCAACCCCGCCAAGAGATAACGAAATAGAAACAGTCTTCAATGTCTCCAAAACCACTGAGAGTACAATGAGGATTCCTGATGAATCAAGCGTGTCCAAGCAGCAGCAAGCTGAGAAAGCATTAATGAAACTTGATGGGAAATGCAAAGAGGTCATTGACTGCTGCACAGTCAACATTGTCCAAATAACTAGTCAGCAATCTGGTGAAACTGAAGTCCAGTCCTGGCTCCTTTACAACTGCTTTGGGACACATAAGTCCTTGCAAATAGCCCTTCAAGAAAACAAGCAAGCCAAGTTCTCTTTGCCCGTCGGGGGGATTGCTGTGCCTTTGCAAAAGAATCCAGGAACTGGGAAGCTGGCCCCACTACAAACAGATCTTGTAGGACAGGCATTTTGCTTCCTTCCTCTGTCCATTCACACTGGTCTTCCAGTCAATGTAAATGGAACATTTGCTGTGACAAGCAACCGCAAAGGTCTGTGGGAGAGTGGTGTGAAACATGAGTGGAACAAAGCCCTTCTTGAGGATCCTGTAGTGACAGCATATATTTCGGCACTTTCGGCACTAAAAAAAAGTCTGAAAACAAGCAACTGGAAACATATTGTTATCATACCTTTTGGCCTGACAGAGAGAAAGTGAGTGATACTTTCAAGCCCTTGGTTGATGCATTGTACTCTGCCATAGCTCAGCCTTCCATTGGCCCAGAGCTCTTTAGTGATGGAGAACATTGGTGCTCAATGAACAGTGCCATATTTCTACACAAGAGTATCGAAGAGGATAAAGACATCAGTGAACTTGCAGTGCAAGTGTGCAAGACGCATGTCAAAGCACCCAACCATGTTGTTTCTCTTCCACTGTGGTTGAGAAATAGCTTCAAACGGTCTGGCCTAGAGAAGGCCTTGCAGAATAGAACATGGAACTGGGACACGTTTTACCAAGAGGCTGTGTTCAACAACCTTGACACCATGGACCCTAAGAGTAGAGATATTCTTGTGCTGCATGCGATCGACCTTAATATCAAAGAAGTTGACGAACTTCTGGTCTGCTATCCATGCATCCCCACAATAGGCGGACAGCTCCAGCATATCAGGAAACTTGTGAATCCATCAGGCAAAGTGGCCTGTCTCTTTCAACCAGAAGAAGGACGCTTACTCGGTGGTACCAAACATGACTTTTGCTCCCCCAAAAGGATTAAACGCTTGTTGGAACTTGGAATGGAAAATGATCAGCTCCCATTGGAAGAAATCACAGAGAAAGCACGCACAATTCCCAGGACCTGGAGCTTTGACAAAAAGAAAGCATGTGGTCATTTAAATTGCCTGCTTGAACTTATGAAGAATCACATGAGTGATGAAGGCTCTCTCCACTGGGAAACACTGAGGATGACTGCATTTCTCCCAGCATTTTCCCCCGGTGATACAAAAAAGGAAAGAAATGTCAAATTTAAAAGGCCAACAGATATTTTTGGTGAAAAATGCTCCCCACTTGTTAACATGACACAACACGTGCTGGATCATACCAATCTGAAAATATACAACACTGATCCACTCCTGCAAGTTTTGGGAGTTCAAGGCAATCCAAGGCCTGACAAAGTGCTTCAACAACTGAAAGAAGCATGTGAGCAATCTCAATCTATTGATACATCCATGCTTCACAAAATAGCATATGAATGCTATAAGTTTCTTGATCAGGAGCTCAGTGATTTGGTGGATTCCACTTTCATTTCACAGTGGGCAAATTCATTCCCGTTCATTCTTGTTGGCAGTACATTTATAAATGTAAACTGCGTTGCGGAAAGTGAGCAATTTGAAGCAAAACCCTATCTCTATGTACTTCCAACTGCCTTTAAGGGTTTTGGGAGGCTCTGGGAAAATGTAGGAGTTGAAAAATCATTTACAACCAGTCAGTGTCTAACTGTGCTGCAGGAAATACACTCTCAACATGGCAACAAGACCCTGCCAAAGGAAGACCTTTTGATGTGTCTCACAATTCTCAGAGGAATATATGAGGCCAAAGATGAAACAACCAACTGTCTGATACCCAATGAACATAATGTTCTACAACCTGCAGGTGACATGTTTTTCAATGACAGCCCATGGATGGCAGTCGGTCCAGATGTGACATTATGTCACAAGGATATCCAACGTGCTATGGCTTGTCACTTTGGAATCAAAACAACAAGGCATCATACCCTGCAAAACTATACAGTTGAGAACATTTCACCATTTGCTTTTCATTTTGAACAGCAGGAACAATTGACTGTTCGAATTAAAAACATAATTTCAGCCTATCCATCAAAGAAAGATATCCTTAAAGAGCTCATCCAAAATGCTGATGATGCAGAGGCAACTGAAATTCACTTTGTTTGGGACAAACGACAGCATGGCACAGAAAAAACATTTGGAAAGAAATGGAACAAACTGCAGGGTCCAGCACTGTGTGTTTTCAACAACAAAGTGTTTTCTGATGATGACCTGAAGGGCATTCAACAGCTGGGAGAAGGAGGAAAGCGCAACTCTCCAGGGAAGACAGGGAAATACGGAGTAGGATTCAACTCTGTTTACCATCTGACTGACTGCCCCTCCATCCTCACTGGAGATAAACTACTCTGCATTTCTGATCCCAATCAAAAATTCATTGAAAGTCATTCAGACAAACCACCAGCTGGCACTGGCTATAAACTAGCTGACACTTTTAAGAACATGTACATGGATGTCTACAAATCCTTTCTTCCAGACAAATTTCCCCTTAAAGATGGCACCATGTTCAGATTACCCTTAAGGATCGGTACCATGGCAAACAGCTCTAAAATATCACTGCAGGAAGTCACAGACCATGACATGAACGAACTTTGCTCTGCACTCTCTGAAGATCCTGAAGGACTGATTCTGTTTCTGAAAAACATCTGCAAAATAGAGGTCCATGAAATCAATGAACATTCAGGGAAACTCAAAACAATCTTTATGGTTGAAAAATGCCTACCACAGTTAAGCAGAGAAAGTAAAGATGCTTTTGTTAAGCTTGAACAAAATGCGCTGCAATCTGACAAACCAATCACGCCAGACAAGGCTATATACAGTGCACTCATTTCAACCTCCGATAAAAGACAAAGTAAATGGATCATTGCAGAACAGTTTGGGACATTCAAAAACAGTGGCAAAGGAGACCAAACACTTCCAAAAAAACTTCCTCAAGCAGCAATAGCGGCGCTTGTGAGCTCAAAGGTCTCTGGTGAAGCCCCACCTAGCAACATGTGTTTTATTGGACAAGCCTTTTGTTCACTTCCTTTGCCAGGAACAACTGGACTGCCAGTGCATGTCAACGCAAACTTTGAGGTAGATTCTGCCAGGAGAGGCCTTTGGAAAGAAGATGGGCAAAGTCTAAAATCTAACTGGAATGAATCTTTGAAACAGAATGTCATTGCTCCACTTTATGCTGATCTCCTTCAGCACATCTGCCACCACTTTGCAAAAAAGAATACCACTTGTGCAAGTTTTGAGTCATTCTACTTGTGTTTTTGGCCAACTGTGTCCAAACATGTTGACCAGGATTGGCATGAAATGATACATGAGCTTTACAGATCAATCAAAGAAAAAGGTCTTGATGTGATTCCAGTTTTGAGGAGTTCAACACGCAATGTTGCAGGCCAAGAATTGAAGACATATTCTTTTGACTGGTGTAATGTCAGAGAAAATGAAACCACTAAGGCACCTTATCTCACACACTCGGAAACAGACAGGATAATGCCAATATTGGAAGATCTTGGAATGAAATTGGTACCTTCTTTCATGCTAAATGTTTGGGAAAGTTTCAGATCCGCAGACATTGCAGTAAGAGATGTGAATCCTTCAAGTGTGCAGACTTTCCTGAGAGAAATAACCGTCAATGACCCGACCAAAACAGACAAGGATTTACCCCTGCCCATAACTGCCACCTTGATCAGAGATGGAAAAAGATGTTCTGAGCTCTTGAGTTTCTGCTTAAAAGACTTTAAAAAGACAGAAGAAGACAACTCCATTACACTCAATGGACTTCCACTTCTTCTCACAAGTGATAAAGTTTTGAGAGTGTTTGACTCCAAATCTCCCAAGCTGATATCGAGTTATGAGAGTCTGTTCTTTGACTACAAAGAACACTTTGCAGACTTTCAGACAAACGGAGAGAACATTGATGCTCTACAAACTTTAAACCTTGTCGAAAGATTGACAGTTCCCTGTGCAGCAAAATATCTGAAGCCGTTAATTCAGCAACTTCTTCAGAGCTGTATAGTTGATCCACAAAGTGGTCTTCATGTCCCAAATGAGAGAGTGTTGATGTGGTTGAAATCACTTTGGAAGTTCTTAACGAGTGAAATTAAACCTGCAACATCTAATGGTGATGAAGAAAGCCTGACATTAAGTGATGTCAGGCAGCTCTTCAGCGACTGCTGCATTTTACCTGTTGTGTGTCCAAGGTTGAACAATAAACACTTCCTAAAAACAATGAAAGACATGCCGAGTGTGCTTAAGAGCACCTCTGGAGAGGACATATCAGGCATCCTTTTTAAACTTGGTTTTATGAAGCTTGAAAGTACATTGTCTCTGAGATGCCTGTACACCAACGTTTACTTCTTCACTCTGAACTTATGGATGTGAATGATAAAAGCTCTGTGTTGGAGCAGCTCTACAACATAAACCACTCAGAGTTTTCCCAGCTTTCAAATCATGAGTTGAAAGAGCTTCAGTGTGACCTGCAGTCTGGAGTATCCAAGTCCAAAGACAAACAAGGATATCAAAGAAAGCTAAAATCGTTGCCAATATTTGAAACAATACATGGTGAACGAGTAAGGATTGATGGACCTAAAGAGGTATTTATCCTCAACAGCACATATTCAAAGGCATTTCCGGATTTGTTCTCCCTATCTGACAGCAACAGCATTTTTCTCCAACACAGTCATGCAAACATCAGTCTGTCAGACACATTGAAAATCCAAACCATGAATGATTTGGACTATTTCATGAAGTTTATTCTGCCTGTTGTACACACACTCACTGAAATGCAGAAGCTTCACTGCCTCAAACTCTTACTGACATCAGAATTCATTCATTGTAAGTGTAGGGACACAATCATCTCCTCAATGAAGGCAGTGCAATTGATTGCCAATTCTCAAGGCACATTGGAGAAGGCATCATACTTCTTTGATAAGAGTGTTGGGCTGTACAAAAAAATGTTGCCCAAAGAGAGGTTTGTACCTGAGAGATTTTGGACTGAGTTGTGTGAAGGGCTTTTTCTACCAGACCCAAAGAAGTTACTAAGAGACCTTGGAATGAAGCATGTTGTTTCAAAAGATGACATAATTAACTTTGCACACCAGTTAGAATCAGAAGCAAAAGGAAATGGTGACCTTAAAGATTTGGAACCAAAATCATCCTTAATATTCAAAGCCGCCTTGAATATACAGATTAAGGACAAGCACGAAAAGGAAATGTTTCTGGAGGAAATGGCTGACATCAAGTTCATTTTTCCTGTGAAAATTGAAAAAAGAACTGCAAAACTACCACCAACCATTTGCGGCTGAGAGAACTGCTGTTACAATCAGGGGGTCTTTGATAGACACTGAAGCTAAGCATCAAGAACTGGTTTGGTCCTCAATGCCAATTATACATCTACCTGTTTATAAGTCAGAGGAAGTCCTGGAAAAGATGAATAAAGCTGGAGCTCATGAACAACCACCGCCAAACTGTGTGACCAGTAACATGAGAAACATCTGTCAGTCGCCCTGTATAGATCAAAAGTTGATCCAAACCCGTGCTGAGGTTTTTCGAAGTGCATATGCATACCTGCAAGCAAACACGTTTGAAGTCCAACCATTGGCTGGTCTTCCTGTGGTTTTGGTTGAAAAAGACAAGGGACTTGCAAAGCCTGATGATACTTCTTTTTCACTCCCGCACGAGCACGAGTTCAGACCGTATTTGTACAAAATTTCTCTGAATGATGTCATGTTTTCAAAGTTCTTCAAGCTAATTGGTGTTAAGGACACACCTACAGCAGTGCAGTATTGTAATGTTCTGGCGGCAGTTTATGCTGATTCCTGCGAGAAACCCCATCTTAACCCAAACCAACAGAAACTGTGAAACGTGCTGTTGAGCAGTTTTTCCTGTTAATCAAAACTAAAGAAAACCAGTCCCTTGTTGATAATTCAATGACTTTGTATCTTCCTGCAGTAGATGGTAAAGTATACCCATCCTGCAAACTCTACTACAATGATACAGTGTTTGAGAGCAAAAGGTTGGAAAAAGCGCTTGAGAATAAGTTTCTTTTGCTTGAGAAACTAAGTGAGTGTCACTTAGGCGATGACATGTATGAGCATCACCGATTGCTGCAATTGCTGCCTCCGACCTTTAAGCCTAATATGCTGTCTCAATTCACTGAGGAGAAAGTAGTGGAATCTCACATGCAGCTTTGTGAGCTTGGTGCTGACTGTGAATTTAGTGGATGGTTTGAAAGTCATTTGTCCTCAGATGCATTTATACATGGACTCATTTGTCTTATCAGAGACCAGTCCCAGGGGGAAATAACACAAGAAGATGCTACTGAGATGTGCAAGAAGACTTTTGGCAGCATTCAGATTGTCTGCTGCAATAGTCTAAAAACTGAGCTTTGGGTGAATCAACAGCCACTACACCAGACTGCCTCTCAAACCGATGTTTTTGTCAAACAAGAGCAACAAGGTTGCATATTTTACTTGAAACACAACAACAACATGATTCACAAGGTGATAAGTGACATCAATATGACATTGACAAAGGAGATTAATGCTCTTTTAGGTAACATATTGGAATCGAAACACCTTCTGGTCCTCGCACACCTTCTCACGTGTGACAATATGCAAGATGTTCTGGAAACTCTTGCTAAGAATGGGATCCATGACAGTGCTGAAACTCAAAGCATTTTCCGCAATCCACCAGCCCCTGGAACAGAAATCCCAGTGGAATGGCATGATTCCTTAGACATGAACATCCTCAATAACTTTGAAGAGGGCGAATATGTTGGCTACAGCACCAACAACAAGTATATCTATGCAGTTATTGTTGAAGAACTGCCTGGGCAGTCGGGACCATATTCACACAGATACAAAATAGAAATTGGAGAAGATGAGCCCATTGAAGTCAGTTGTCTGGACCTGTATCAGTTTAAACGACAAAAGAAACCAGAACCTAAAGGAAGTTCTGCTGCTTCTACATCTGCTGATACTTCTTGCATGGACATGGTGCCACTAGAAGGAGCTGTGCCACATTCTTCCAAACCATCAACTACAAGTTCCTCTTCTACGAGATCCTCACCAGCCTCTCTTGAAGAAGCTAAAATGGAAATTGACAAATGTTTAAAAGAGATTTGGACTCTTCCTGAGGAGGAAAAGCATAAAGCCATCAAACGACTTTACCTTAGATGGCATCCTGACAAAAACCTTGACTGCATACCTCTTGCCACTGAGGCATTCAAATACCTGCAGAATCAAATTGCTGAGCTCAGCAAAGGGAAGGGCAAAGGCCAAAATACAGGCTCATCTTATTCAAGCGGAAGATCAGACTTCAGGAACTTCTATGATGAATGGAATCAGGAGGCCAGGCATCACAGAAATGCTAGGGACGGATTCTCCAGAAGCAACCGTTCCTACAATTTTTGGACACATAATAAAAATGTCCCAAGGCCAAACAAAGAAGAGGCCCAACGCTGGAGAAGACAAGCTCGCTGTGATCTCGACGCAGCCTACAAAGACGTTAGTGGGGCGAGCACAGAGTGGTGTCTGTTCAAAGTCCATCAAGCAGTGGAAAAGTCTCTCACAGCTGCAAAGTATAAGAGAGATGGTCAGCATCCCACCAGCAGCTCCATTGTATCCCTTGCAGCACAAGTTTCCCTCTACAACCTCAAACTGAGAGTTCTTCCTCAAATAGTGAGGAATCTGAAGGCGTTGGGAGTGGACGACAAAAAGACTCAGTATCCAAACTGCCATCCATTTCCCCATATTCCAAATGAGCAGTTCAAACCAGAGAATGAGTTGTTGGCACTGGAGAGCGCATCTGAGCTTCTGAGTTTAGTCGAGGAATATGTAAATTAGGGATTCAAGACAAACTGACACGTCATGTTGGTAGAGTCAATTTAGGTTTGTTCGACATGTAAAAGGGCATTAGCCATATTCTTATATTAAAACATTACTCTGAAGAAAATAATAGTTCCATTTGTTAAAAAAAAACATATCAGACATGCTGACATAAAATGTGTGTGTAATGTCGGGACTTACTGACGCCAATGAAAGGCCATTGTAATGGGAATGTAAATATGATATTTTGAGTATTGTTGAAGAGTTTTGACTACTCACTCAGGACCCATAGGCCCTCTATTATTTTGTTATGGAAATGAAACAAAAGAAGTTATATTTATGCAAAGTTATCGTTTATGACCACTCACTTGGGATCACTTTAAACTCTGTATTACTTTATTTTTATTTTTTATTATTGTTCTACAAATGTACAACTACTCAAAGTGAGGACCAATTTATTGTCTGTATGACTTTTTATGAAAATATCAAGATGTTCTTTGAAATGTTGTAAACGGTTAAAACTCACTGAGGTCCAATATAATATCTGTATGACTTTTCTTTTTACTATATTATCATTTATACCTATCCATTAGGCCCAATATAATCTCTGTTTTACTTTATATTATTACTTTATTTTAAATACTTTCTAAAAATGCAATTATAATTATTTTTTGTTCATCATTGTTATAAACATTTACAATTTCTAACTGTGACGACCAATATAATATATGTATGACTGTTATAAAAATATCAATATATTTGTTTGCATGTTGTTAACCTTTACACTGCGGACCAAAATGATCTCTGTATGACTTGTTCCTCACAGTTTTCTAAACACTGAGTTATCAATAAGTCAAAGAAACAATGGCATAACCAGAAATATATTAATTATTGAATGTGATGTTATGTTCTGTTATCATTTATTACTACTTACTCATAATCAATATAATCCCTGTACCACTTTTTTTGGAAAGTACAAATGCCACATTGAGTTTTTGAAGCCAATGAAAGGCCATTGTAATGGGAATGTAAATATGATATTTTGAGTATTGTTGAAGAGTTTTGACTACTCACTCAGGACCCATAGGCCCTCTATGATTTTGTTATGGAAATAAAACAAAGGAAGTTATATTTATGCAAAGTTATCGTTTATGACCACTCACTTGGGATCACTTTAAACTCTGTATTACTTTATTTTATTTTTTTATTATTGTTCTACAAATGTACAACTACTCAAAGTGAGGACCAATTTATTGTCTGTATGACTTTTTATGAAAATATCAAGATTTATTTTGAAATGTTGTAAATGGTTCAAACTGTCTGAGGTCCAATATAATATCTGTATGACTTTTCTTTTTACTATATTATCATTTATACATATGCATTAGGTCCAATATAATCTCTGTTTTACTTATATATTATTACTTTATTTTAAATACTTTTTTTGGTTCAGTATTGTTATAAACATTTACAATTTCGAACTGTGACGACCAATATAATACATGTATGACTGTTGTAAAAATATCAAGATATTTTTTTGCATCTTGTTAACCTTTACACTGCGGACCAAAATGATCGTTGTATGACTTGTTCCTCAGTTTTCTAGACACTGAGTTTCATTGAGTTATCAATAAGTCAAAGAAACAATGGCATAACCAGAAATATATTAATTATTGAATGTGATGTTCTGTTATCATTTATTACTACTTACTCAGGATCAATATAATCCCTGTTCCACTTTTTTTGGAAAGTACAAATGCCACATTGAGTTTCTTCACTATTACACTTTGTCTGAACTTTTTACATCGATTAAAAAATGAAAATAAAGCAATTCAATCAAGGATTAAACAGGCATGTCTTTTGTGATTTTTGTTTAAAATACCATAGTAAATGTGTCCAGGGCTAGACACTATCACTCAAACCTGTGAGTTGTTCTACCTCTGTCCTTTTCTATTATCTATATTAGCACTCCCTGGAAAAGGATAATCAGTTAGTTCTCTTTTATTGGGTTGCCACACCTGTTGCTTGAGGGAGATTTATGCAATACTGTCAATAATAAAGATAAGATTAAATATGTAGGCTAGAGGTTCAGAAATGTTCAGTCATATGGCACCTTTAAAAGTTGCTTTACTGTTGCAACACTAGTCATTAAAAAGGGGGTACAAAGTGTTCAAAAGCACACTTGGTAAACCTATGCTGATGATATAAATGTGTTCTTGTCTGATTAGATCTCTTCCAAGATCTGCAAGGGTTTTAACAGAATGTTTTTGATTAAATTGTTAGCTTTGTTGTACCTTGTAGGGTAAACTGATAATACCCAATCAAAATGTTCAGCTCGGTCGGGAATCGATGGCTATTACTTTTCTCATTCATAACTTTCATAATTCCAGAGATACATCCCATAATACATCACATTTTTAACATGGAAGTCAATGGAGAAATTCTTCAGACTTCAACAAATCTTCATGCGACTTCAACTGCTAACCTCTTAAGGACGACGGTCCCCCCATTGGACTCCTCCCACCGTTTTTTTTTTAGACAATGTCTCAGGGCTTCTTAACATTTATGAAACTATTAATGTGTAGCACTAGATTAACGGGAAGAATCTCAGCTAACTGAAGATATGAACCATTTTTACCAAAACAAAACACAAGTCTCAAAAGAAGCGTCTAAATGACCCCTGAGCGAAAAAATGCAAACTGACTTGGCACACAATTCAAGGATAAGATACCCTTATTACTTATCGTAGCTGCACATACAATATATCCGATTAAAGCTGAGACTCCACAGATTATTTAGGTATAGTATCATCACTGAGCGATCCGAACTTGCAACAGGGGAAGCAAACACAGACATCACAACACGTACCTTTACGGAGCATTTACGGCAGATCGTCTCACCGTAGCTGTCAATTAGATCAAAAGACGTGTTCAAGGGCATTAAAACAAAAAACAAAAATGCTACAACTGTTGATCCTTAGGTTAATAATGTACCTGTGCCTTTGAAAAAATTATTTATAATCCATAATTCCATTTTTATGTAAAAATCGGAGCGGAAAAGTTAGCTGCTAATGGTAGCCACCAGAGTGTATGCAGCCTCCGGTTTTGGTCACGCGTCACTCTCACTCCTTATTGTTAACGTTTTGGTGTGTATAGAACTTTCCCTCGATTCCATTAGCCGCGTTCACACCAGAGTACTTTTCACCGTACTTTTCGCGTTTAGTTCCGTTAGTACCCCTTATGTCGCGTTCACACCAAAAAGAGCACTTCATCTCGGGAACTTTTACCCCCCCATTTTTAGTGCCTGCTGAGAGATGGTACTTTCCTGGGGGAAAAAAGTGCCCCAGTTCTGATTGGCTGGGCGAATTGCAAACCACGCCCCGTACAACTCTGAAATGTTTTGTAGAGCCGCCATTTTATTATCCTGGCATTAGCATTATTAGCATTAGCATTCGCCCAGTGCACAAACGCAGAGAGACTAACTTATGGCAACACAAAATAAAACATGGGAGCGGTGGAGATGAGGGAGGTGTTGGCGTTCTGGCGATTTACTCGGAAGGCTTCAGTAGAAGCTGCTGGAGTCCCAGCAGCTTCTACTGAAGCCAGTCCCCAACTCCGGGGACTTCTGGCCGGGGACCTCCGGGTGGCAGTATACGCCGTGAAGTTGTTTGCGGCCTGCCAGTAAACCCAAAGCAGAAGAAGACGAAGTGACGTCAGCGGCTCATTTGCGTAATCTTCCCTCAGGGAAAAGTACTCCGGTGTGAACGCGATCTGTACTAAATGCCCTGGGGTAATAAGTGCTGGCGCACTGAGTGCCGGCACTAAATACGGCAAAGTACTTGGTGTGAACGCGCCTATTGGCTCTAGCGGTTATAAAGAGATTTCATTCATCAAAATCGACCAAGGGGGGCCAGAGATATAGGTCAAATCCACCCAAATGACCCCAGAAGTGTTTTTTTTTGGCTAAATCTCTTTAAAAAAGGTCAAATTTCACTTGTTTTGCATCAATCTTGGTACAGGGTACTTATATGTTGTACTTTGGATTCCTAAAGCTTTTAGTCTACTAACCCATCATCCAAGGGTAGTTTTTCACTATAAGTAAAAATAATTTTTGGACAGACACTATAATTTATAGTTTTTTACTATGTAAAATCTGAATTTTCTTTAAAATAAAAAACATCTATATTGATTCTGACTTTTCTACATCCAACTCACAGGTTTATCATTACTTTGAGAATAAAGATTATTAATTTAACTCTTTTAGAAGGGAAGATATGGTCATTTGTTCTGGGAATGTCATTTTCGAGCCTGAGACCTGAAAAACAGGCTCAGGGCTTAAGGGGACCTATCATGCAAAATGCACTTTTGTACGTCTTTTTATACATGAATATGTGTCCCCGGTGTTCCAGGGAACTCACCAAGTGTCAGAAAACACAACCCTCTCTATTTTCCTCCATACCCAAATTTCTAAAAAAGGGGCTGCAAACGGATCTGATACAAAACTGATCCAGATTTGAACACTGTCCTGACGTCAGGACAGTGGCGCTACGGCTATTGGGCCAACTCCAGCAATCAGGAGGAGACAGCCACGGCCATTGCCGTTCGAAAGCGCTGGAGACGTTGTAGTACATATGCCAGGCCAGTAGATGGTGCTGTTCTCACAGCATCAGCCCTTGCAAAAACAGAGCGAGAAATTGTCAAATTGAGCAAAATGAGGCATGGCTAAAATGCATGATCTGTTTGGTATTTTTGAAAAAAAAGAAGTATAAATATGCCTTATATAGGTATGGTGCTACACTATATTATTCAAATATAGCATGATAGGTCCACTTTAAGAGGCTAACTTTTCATTCATACTTTCACTCAGAAACCTCATTCCAATTTTAAAATCTTACACATCTTTCTGACATTATTCGTGTAACACAACTTTTAAATCTGATTCTTACTTTTAGAGATATTAAACATTGTTCAGACCTTGTTAAAGATGTTTTCTTCAGATTTTAACATTAACTAGAGTGCGTGATGTCACAGCTAGAGGGTAGGAAATCTTGAAATGTGCCTTAATTTTTCTTTTTAAAACTGCCATAATTTCCAAACCTTATATTCCTGAGACATAATTTTTCATGACAAACATAGGAAAACATCTCGTAGCTTGAAAAAGGACAATAATTAGGCAAAAATAATTAAACAAAATGCCTCTTGAGGGCATGAAGTGACAACAACTTTCAACATGTCTCCATTAACACCCATTGTAATTTCAGGCTGATATTTCCTCACAGCAGCAGCCGCACACCTTTAGTTAAACTGCCAAAAAGGCCACATTATTAACCCGAAGGTACACAAAGATTACACTTCAGATACTCAACTTCCTTGACATGCTTCACGTTTTGAAATTTCACAGATATCTGTTATCGTTCTTCCACAAAACGTTCACATGTAAGAGGTTCATCTCTCATTCAGAACAATGAAACTTTGAAGTCTAGGCACCTCGTTAGCTCAACTATAAACACCTGTGCAATGGAACACGATGATGTCATCACTCCAACTGACAGCAGTCAGTTCTAACTGTTCATTTCATACTCACACACACACACTCTCTCTCAATTCAATTCAATTAAATTCAATAAGCTTTATTGGCATGAATGTCAGGTGAACAATATTGCCAAAGCGTCAAGGATAATACAATTCAATAAAATTGATAAAAATACAAATACAATTCATTCATTAAACAATTTACAACAATATATTATTACAAAACCTCAAGTATCAAATGTAAAAAGAAAGAAAAGAGACCCATGAAGTAGAGGAGTAATCAGAGTGAGCTGTGAGGAACAGCTGTTATGTGTTGTTGCTGTCTCTTAGGCTGTGACATGCGCTCACATATTTCGCTGCTTCTATGCTGCTGGCACTATTTTCTCCAAGTACATGTTGCATTTTATTCTGGTCAGACAGTGATTCAAAATCTTGGAGTTTACATGTTATCTTTGTAAAGAACTTTGTTCTAATGTCTTCGTATGTTTGACAGTGCAGCAGGAAGTGTTGCTCTGTCTCCACCTGTCTCTGTGGACAGAGCTGACACAGCCTCTCTTCTCTAGGCAGCCAGGTCTGCCTGTGTCGGCCAGTCTCTACGGCCAGGCTGTGGTCACTGAGTCTGTACATTGTTAAGTCTTCCTCAGTTTGGGATCAGTCACGGCGGTCAGATAGTTTGCCACCGTGTACTGTCTGTTTAGAGCCAAATAGCATTGAAGTTTGTTTTGGGTTTGCGTGGTACATGTCCAATAGTTGATGTAATTTTCTTTTGCTTTAGCTATGATTTGTTGGGCCAGATTGTGTGAGGGCTATCCTGAGGCCTTGTCCTGTTAGAGGAGGTGAGCCTCAGCACCAGCTGGTTGAGGGGACTCCTCTCTATGTTCTCCTCTTGGCAATGGAGGGCTTTGTAATGGTAGGAGTTGGGATCACTGGTTTTTTAGGTGGTTGTAGAATTTGACTGCTCTTTTTTGTATCCTAATTAAAAGGGGGAATTGGCCTAGCTCAGCTCGGCATCCATTGTTGGGGGTGTTCCTGTGGACTCTCAGGATGCTCTTGCATATCTCCGCATGTAGGGTTTCTATTGGGTGTTTGTCCCATTTATCAAAGTCTTGATTTCCAAGAGGACCCCACACTTCGCTACCATACAGTATGATTGGTTCTATTATTGAATTGAATATTTTGAGCCAGATTCTAACAGGTATATTTGAAGACTTTTTGATAGCATAGAAAGCCCTTTCTTCCTTTGTCTCTGAGATCATTAATGGCCAGATTGAAATTTCCTGTTGAAGTAATTTTGAGTCCCAAATATGTGTAGCTGTGTTGTGTGTTCTATGTCAGTGGAGCCCAGTAAGAAGCGGTGTGGGTTTCCCTGACCCCTGGGTCTTTTCTGGAAGACCATAATCCTGGTCTTTTCCAGATTAACTGTCAGGGCCCAGATCTGACAGAAGCTTTGCAGATGATCCATTTGCTGTTGTAATGCCTCCTTAGATGGAGCTAGCAATATTAGATCATCTGCAACAGGAGGCATTTAATTTTGTGTGTCAGAGAGGGTGAGTCCCAGGGATATCGGATTGTTCTAATGATTTAGCCAATTGATCAATATAAATGTTAAATAGGGTGGGGCTGAGACTGCAGCCCTGTTTCACCCCTCTACTTTGGGGGAAGAAATCTGTTTCCACATTGCCAATTTTCACAGCACATTTATTATTTGTATACATTGTTTTAATGATATCATATGTTTTCCCCCCTACACCGTTTTCAATCAACTTCAGGAACAGACCGTCTATGCCAAATTGAGTCGAATGCTTTTTCGAAATCTACAAAACAAGAGAAAATCTTCCTTATTTTGGTGGACATGTTTATGAATGAGGGTTGTGGAGGGTATATATATGGTCTGTAGTCCGATGTTGTGGTGTAAATCCAATCTGACTCTTGCTCAGGACATTATGTTCACTGAGGAAGTCTTTGCAGTCGGCTGTTTAGGATGCTGCAGAATAACTTCCCCAGGTTGCTTGCTGACACATATGCCTCGGTAATTGTTTGGGTCAAATTTATTTCCATTTTTAAATATTGGTGTGATGATTCCTTTGCTCCAGATGTCAGGGAAATGTCCAATGCTCAGAACCAGGTTGAATAGTTTCAACATGGCAGTGTTGAACTTATATGGCTGCTAAATTTCAGCATTTCATTTAAAATACCATCAGGACCGCTGGCCTTCCTTGGTTGTAGGGCCTGGGTTTTAGCCAGGAGCTCTTCCTCAGTAATGTTACTGTATAGTCTAAAGGGTTCTGGTTGTCGTTAACGACTGATTCTAGAATGTGTAGTTTGTTGAGGAGATCATTTTGGGCCGAATTCAGTGTAACGCTACTATACAGGTTTTCAAAGTGTGTTTTCCAAATGTCCCCATTTTGAATAGCCAGTTCTTCCTTGTGTGGTTTGCTGAAAGAGTGCCATTTCTTCCAGAAATGATTTGAGTCAATGGACTCTTCAATGATATCAAGTTGGTGCTGCGCATGTTGCTCCCTTTTAGTTCTGAGTGTTCTTCTGTATAGTTTCAGGTTTCCCAATATTGGAGGCGAAGGCTCAGGATTGTCAGGTTGTCTGTGTTTTTGATTTGATAACACTTCTGAGGGTTTTTTCAGATGCCTGCAGTCAAACCACTTTCATTGGCTGAACTTTTTTGATTATGTATTGTGGTTTTTTCAGTATTGGATACATCTGCAACATTGTCAAAGATGCTGTTAATGTCCATACAGCCTGATTCAGGCCATCATTACTGTGGGATATGGGGTGGATAGAAAATGGTCTAATTTGGATTTGAATTGTTTTGATGTCAGATGCTTTCTGGTAGTCGTCCTTGCTATGTTTGTCCATCTTATAAGGTTGTTTGTTTGTATAGTTCAGTTACTGGGTTCTGCTCTCTCTCTCTCTCTCTCTCTCTCTCTCTCTCTCTCTCTCTCTCCTCTCTCTGCTCTACTCTCTCTCCTCTCTCTCTCTTCTCTCCTCTCTCTCTCTCTCTCTCTCTCTCTCTGCCACACCGGGTCCATGCCTCAACAGCTCTATGCCAAATCTGAAATCTCACCATATGCCGTTTCCATGGAAACGCATCCCTCGCCATAAAACACGATGTCCCTTTAACTCCTATGAAAATGTTCAAAAAGTGCTCAAAATTCACATGTGTGCTAACAGTCCAGCCGTGAAGACATCTACGAGACAGTTTTGAGATTTCTTCAAATGCCGTTGGCATGGCAACACAATGCTCGCTATGAAACACGATGTCGCTGTAACTCCAATGGACACGGTCCGATCGTCCCCAAACTTCGCTTGTATATCACCGGTCCATGCCTCAACAGCTCTACGCCAAATCTGAGATCTCACCATTGGCTGTTTCCATGGAAACGCATCCCTCGCCATAAAACACGATGTTGTCGTGATACCTATGCAAATGGTCCAAACACCACCAGACTTCAGATGACAGTTAATGGTCCAGCCCTCAACATGTCTATATACCATTAGTGAGTTTTCCTCAAAAGCTGTTGCCATGGCAACGCATCCCTTGCAATAAAACACGATATGGCTATAACTCCTATGAAAATTGTCAAAAAGTGCTAAAACTTCACATGTGTGCTAACAGTCCAGCCGTGAAGACATCTACGGGACAGTTTTGAGATTTCTTCAAATGCCATTGCCATGGCGACAGACCACTCGCCATGAAACACGATGTCGCTGTAAGTCCAATCGACACGGTCCAATCGTCCCCCAATCTTCACTTGTATATCACCGGTCCATGCCTCAACAGCTCTACGCCAAATCTGAGATCTCACCATATGCCGTTTCCATCCCTCGCCATAAAACATGATGTCGCTATAACTCCTATGAAAATGTTCAAAAAGTGCTCAAACTTCACATGTGTGCTAACAATCCAGCAGTGAAGACATCTACGGGACATGCCGTTGCCATGGCAACACAATGCCCGCCATGAAACACGGTTTTCTCATAACTTCAGTGAAAATGCTCCAAATGGCCCAAAACTTCACAGGTTTGGTAATGATGCAGCAATCAACGCATCTAAGCGTATAATGGGATGTCATCAAATGCCGTTGGCATGGCAACAGATCATTCGCCATCAAGTTAGTTCAAAAGTTTGCATTTCAAATATTCTGCTGCTTTTCCAAGCCTTTTTACTTTCTTTACTTCTCTCATCACACATTCAAGCCCCCAGTGTTCATGTATAATTTCAATCTATATTCTTCACTTTCTTCTTACACATTACATTTCAGCATAGCAGTTTAGCGTCAGCTTTTCAGCATAAAGCATTCCCACTAGCAATTTCTTCAGGAATTGCATTCTCTAGTTTATTATGTATCCCACAACATGGAGGTTATATTCTTGCTACTATAGCTTATTGCCAACACAACGACATGATCATATTAAAATATATTGAAAATGCATTTACTTTAAGAGCTTATTGTTTGATATAGCTTTTAGGTTTTAAATATCATTAATACATTTTCCTTATCTCCTAAGCCCTGCAGCTTACATTGTTTGGCAAGATCGAAGGACCCTGGAGTGACAAAGTTTGCTCTTAAATAAACTCTTCCTTCAACTAAAGTCAATAGCATTGCACCCTGCAAGCAATTTCATCTGACCCTTGTACGTTCATTATTGTACTGCATATGCTTTATTTTCACATTTTTAGTACAGAGACTATTACAACTGGAAGATGATACTTATGATACTTTCTTTAAAGACAAGACTACATTGTGTGTTTTTATTTTGGATCGCCTCTTAATGATTTTGATGATTCTGTTATTGGAAATGTTCTGGTAAAGGATTCCATTATTATTATTATTTGGTTTTCCATAGCGAAACATCTTTATTTTTCAAACAGACTAAAAGACAGGTCACATGTTGGCTCAGGATTAGTACATTGAATTGATGTCATGAAATTCTTAGCTCTGCCCACGTCACCCTGGGCAACGGGGCTAATCACGTGGGATATTGAACACACCTGTGTAGGCGTTGTTTTCTCAAGAGGCTGACAATGAGCTTAAAAGTGTTCACTGCCACCTCCCATAGTAGCCTTTTAGAACATTTGGAATATTCTTTATTGGATAGGACATCTGCAGGATCAGTTGCTAGTAAAAACAAGCGTTCGAAGTTAAAAGCACTTTTTTTTTTATTCATTAAGAAATCATGTTATGAAAATAATGACAACTAACCATATATCAGACAAATGTATCTTTCCATGTTAACAACAAAGGTTTGCTCTGGAGGACGTGACGTCTCAGCGGTCCCCAGAGTGTCGCTGTCTTCTCCTTGTGCGAGGAGTGTGCTTGGTCTCCCACTTCCATACTATAAAAATGTTTACAAGGCTTTTCACGTCTCTTCTCAGTGTCCACACATGAGAACACGTTTCAAATAATTTTTGTTTGTGAGTGAGAAATTCACATATACCAGATTCAGTCTTTGTGTTATGTGGTCATCTTCTCCATCTATTAATAATTTACACAAAACCTGTACATACTTACAGCAGGCAGGAGCCTGTTTCTGAGGGGATGATCACACAGAGAAAAGAAGCAACACACAGTGAAGTGAATCTTTACAAAGTCAATGTGATAATGTGGGAGGTCAAGATGTTATGAGCATATTAGACACTTGCCTTCATCAAGACATGCAATACAAATACTTTTGTAACTCTCATTCACTATGGCACTCGAAATGTGGCTTTGACATTCTGCATGAAACCAATACCGGCTCCAATGTCTTCCAGTCCTTTGCTTTAAAACACACATTCAACACAACTGACAATAGGGACAGACACTTTAAACATATTTATGGAGTGTGTGTTTGTTATGGCTGATGCTACGATAAAGTATATTCATATTAACCAGAAAGATGAAAGACTTTGGGTGCAATAGGATTTACCATACCTTACCTCCCTCTGCATATCCCCCTCCCTATCATACAGCTGATAAACTTCACAAAATTAAGTTAAGCTGGGATAGGAAAGAGTCAGAAAATTCACTTAAGGCTTCATTCATATTATTTGGCAGGTTGCTAATGGAAAGCAACGATTATATTCCTCGCCATCTCACGACTCCGAAGGCTGGGCACTTACTGTCTGCAGTCATTCAAAGTATTTCACGTCACTCATATTGCATTTTGTTTAGATAAAACAATAACTATATTACACTTTTTTGATTTAGAAAAGGACAACATTGCGTCAACCACATAGTATTTCTAAACATCCTGTTACTGACACCACAAATTAAAAGGACTGATGCTGAAATGATGGAAGAAATAACTGCTGTGTGCGTCTCTGCAATACTAACAACATGATGTGAAATGAGCAGGAACACTAAAATCCGGGTTGACTTCAGGCAGACGACAATGTACGTAAGATGGATTTTCTTCTATAAAAATCATATATGACCGGCAATGGCTCTGCGAACACTTAACATGGTGTCAGTCTATGGCACTAGTGTGTGGCAAACACAACAAATAATGAAAATATAGAAACGGACAGTAGATGAAGTTAATGGAACTGTGTAGTGTTATACCTTACTGCTATCATGTGTCCTGGGTTTAAGGACACGGACACTCTGTCATACTCAAAACTCTTTTCAACAAAACCTCTTTAAAACATTATTTGTTGAGGCGAGAAATCGCAGGGAGAAACTGACATGAGGTTTGTGTTGATCTAATTTCTCTTGGGATTTCTCTCCATTTTGCATCCACGTTTTCTTTCATGTTTCCCTGTCTGCGAGCTGAAAGAGGAGCACGCTTTCTTTCAACAGAAGCCACACCGACTCCCGTTGTGTGATGAGCCACGTGGAGGAGGAGGGGACCCTCACATGTTGTAAGCCACATATATGGGGTCCAGCTGGTCGGCCAGGAACCCGTCTCTGAGGTGCATGCGCTGCTTCTCCCCTCTGGAGTTGATGGGGATGACGCCGGGGTCGACCACCACCACCACTCCCACGATGAGGTAGTGCTCCTCCAGGACTACGTTGGTGACCAGGGCAACCAGGTCCAGGGCCTCCTGCTCGGACCCCTCCAGCTCCACGACCACCACCAGGAGGTTGGTCCAAGTGAACACCGCACTGGGAGAAAGCGAGACAAAAAGAAAAATGGAAGGAGAGCAAAAGGGAAAGAAAGAACAGGATAGAGGCAGATAAGTCAGAATTTATGTTGCTCAGTTATATTTCTGAGTATAAACTGGATAAATGTCTTACTACATAATGCATAATTTGATATGATTAGTGATGAAGTAGTGATGAAAATGTCTCACCACTCAGCTATGCTCTTGTGAGAACGGATAACGGAGGTCTCGATGTCGATTGGGTGATACCTCATTCCCCTCAGCTCCAGGGTCTCATCCAGAGAGCCCACCACATAGAGGGCGTCGTGGCGCTCTGAGACACACGCACACGCACACGCACACGCACACGCACACGCACACACACACACACACACACACACAATGTACCAAGTTAGAATGTGTTAAAGCTCAACGTCTGCATTCATTTTATAACTCCGATGTACAAATAATAAAACAAAGTATTTTGTTTTACAGTTTTTTTGTATTTTCATAGAAAAGTATTCAAAGTTAAGCTGCTCTAATCAGCAAACTGTTCTACTGAAAGGCATTTTTATTTATTTAATTAAAAACAAGAGCCCTTTTTCTCTTAAAGTGACATTAAAAGTTTATACACAAGTGTTGTATTTTTTGTTTTAATATCATGCTTATATTACCCCAATTTCATCAAATTATCTTCAACTGACTTCTAAAAAATAATTAATAATTAATTAACGTAATAAAATCACGTATTACTTACTGAAAACAAATACACAGACTGCATTTATGTATTTAACCTAAACGTATATGAATGTAACTTGTCACACGGAGTGAGCGTTTGTTATCCTCACCTCCACTGGCGTCCGTCAGCTCGGTGCGCCGCAGGAAGCCGAGGTAGCCCGTCCTCGCCCACACCGTCTGGGTGTCTCCGAAGCTCAGCTTGGTGTTGAAGTGGTCGGCGTGCAGCGCCTCCTCCCCGTAAACTGTGTAGTATCCTGTGGCATTGTGAGGACTGCTCACCCACACCTGATACACACACACACACATGAAGAGAGGTTACACACATGATTGTATACATCTGCTGTGGAGGTCTGGTGTAAGGACAGGCTTTGAAGTGAGAGCACAGCTTTTCTTAGTTCTTTTATTGTGTTGGAAACTGTCTTTAGACCTCTCAATGCAACTCTGTGCAAGATCCAGTTAAACTTCAATCTGCTGTTTAAAAAGGAAGATGTATTTATTTAAAAGGATGGCACCTGTTCCATCATCTTGTTACCCTGTCTAAAGTTGTCTTCATTCACTAAAACTCTCTCCTTGAGAAATCTAGCTTGTAAAACAAGGTTGTTATAATCTCTTACCGTTATTATAGAAATGTGTTTTCGTTGATATGACGTTTAAGAGATCAGTTCTCTGCAGTAAGCGCACTGTAACTTATAATGCATGTGGAACAGGTGAGGGTGAAACACTCAGGTGACTTTGTGACTTACCTCTCCTAGGTGGGAGTCTCCCAAGGGTCCTTTAGTCTCTGTGTTGGCAATGATCACCTTCACTCCTGGAAGGATCTAGAACAGCAGACAGAGATATATCAAAGATTTAGAAAACATGTTGCAGCACACAGTTACCTGTAGTGTTTTAGTGCATTTCAAGAATCTGGTGTATGTAGAAATCTGCATCGACAAGGAGCATACATATAGAATACAACAAGATATATTCGAAATATATAAATGTGTATATCAAGTACCTTCCCAGACTCCATCAGTGGCAGGCTGTGTGGAGACCCTCTCTCTACCAGGCGGACCCTGAAGGATAAATATACCAAATGAGCAAGTTCATATCTCTTTTTTATTATTCTATTCCCCAAATGTGAAAAAAGCAGGAAAAACAGCCAAAAGATTGAATAATGTATTCATTTGCAATAAAAATGTGTACCAGAATTATAATAACACCACATATTAGACTGACTTAACACATGTCCACGTTTATATCTCAAAGAAAACTCCTGTTATTAAAGCTGCAGAGGCGCCCCCTACCTGTCGTGACGTAGCGCTCTCATGTCCACGTAAACAGTGGTGGGGTCAGGTCCCGCTGTGCCCTGGAGGAAAGCAAGCAGAGTGAGACATCAATGTAACTCTTAAAAGCCTGACATTATTGCTGTATGTAGCCTGAGTGGAGGGGAGGTGGAGGCTGCTTAGGACACAACTGTTGACAAAGCAGGGGGGGTGGGGGGGTTGCAGCCAGAAGCCGACAAGCCAGGCTACGACAGTGAGGAAGTCAAACTCACAAAGACAGTGTGAGTACTTGAACATTCTGATTAATCTTCTCACGGTCAGCTACGTTTTTTTGCAAGTGTAAGATGTTTTTGAGAATCTACTGTGCTACATTAGAAGCCTAAAAGTAGGTAATTTATTTATTTCAAATGTTTATCTGCTGTAACAAAAAAGGCACTCCAATGTCTGAAGATTTCTAAATGAGCAACATTTGTTTTGATTAAATGTCTATAGATCTGCCATCCACCTCATTTTTCAGTACTGATTGTGGTTGTCAGATATTGATTCCTTCTGCTTAAAATGTTTCATTATTGCTGCTGTAGGACGAGTCACAATGCATTATGGGTTCCATCACTCTATTGTGTAGTTGTCCCTGAGGTCAAGGACAGACACAGAGACAATGAGACTCATCCAGAGATTTCCATGAATCCCAAACCAGCAGACTGAGAAACCAAAACACTTAAGAGTGCGTTCATAACTTGTCAGACATTCTTTTTATGAACCTGATCAACAGGTTAGCTCTTCCAATAAAACTAATGAGGCGTGTTCTTTCATTAAAACAAATAAGTGACTTCATTCACTGAATATCTTCTTGTGTGAAAGAAAAGGCACCAAAACAATACTTCATTATATAAAAAAAAAAAAATTGTATTTTACTTAAACTAACTAAGTTGAAATATTGGGTTTGTCAAAAATAGGGGGATTTAAAAAAAATAATTCATCATTTCTTCTTGTAATGCTGTGTGAATGGCACTTGTAAATGACTTTTATCATGGCAGAGTTCATGCTGTGTACTCATGGTATAATGTAAGCACAATACAAATATCCTGCTCATAAAGCAATGGTTTGGTTCAGAGCCAGCTGGTAAGACTCGGTCAAAATGAATAGCGGTAAAGTTCAACCGTAGCTCATCAGGAAAAAGAAAACCAAGAGAAAATGTTTGGAGGCATCTTTAAAAACCATGCAAGAAAAACAAACGCACACACAGCTACAGACCAAAGAGCAAAAAGCAACTCTTATCCATCCGGTTACCTGCTCAGCCAGTTTCCCTAACCTGTTGGACTGACAGGGCAGGACAGATACAGATATTTATATATGTACTTATATAAGTGGATACACATGCACACACACATGAACAAAATCACAGGGATAGGGAGAAACAAATAGAAAAGGACATCAAAGTGCTACAGGAGGAAAAGAACGATGAACAAACATTGACTGCCACAGACTCTGGACCTCTCTCTTCCTCCTCCTCATCATCATCATCCTCCTGCTTACCTGCAGACAGATGGCCACGTTCACCCTGCAGCCGAAGGTGGTGCTGACGGCGCGTGGCGAGAGCCCCAAGTCCTTTCTTATTAAATTTAAATTGTAATTTTAATGACACCAATTTTACATTTCATATATATTTATTCATTGTCGAGAGCTGTCTATTCACTATTCACATTGCCATTGAGACAACTGGAGGTGTGTGGCGCAGTGGACTAGTGCGTTGGTGTTCGGATCAGGGGAGCAGAGGTTCAAACCCCACTGCAGTCAGCATGTCGTTGTGTCCCTGGGCAAGACACTTCACCCCAAATTGCTCCTGTGGGGATTTCCCACCGTATTGAGTATGTAAGTCGCTTTGGATGAAAGCGTCTAACAAGTAACATGTAATGTAACTGTGGTGTGGTATACACAACAAACACCAAAAATAAGAATGTTTCTGCTGTCTCAATTTAAGACAAATGCACTTATATATTATGCCAATTTAAGAATTTAACTCTTATTTAAACTTAATTTAAGATTTACATTCTTAGTCAACTCAACTAAAACACTAATTTTACGTTATTCTTTTTTAAATAATGGAGGAATTATTGCTTGTAATAAGCAAAATGTGCTTACATTTTTCATTTTTGTCTAGTTTCAAGGCCCATTACGGTCTTTCAGTAGCTAGATTTTAATTCTAGTTTTAAGAATTCTAGCCAAGCAAATTTGGCTCACCCCATTGGCAGATTTGTTTGCTTGATACAGGAACATCTGACTTGATTCAAGAATATTTATAATGCTTGTTTTTGGAAGGGCTGTTTTTGCAGTGTATTTTATATGCAGTGCTGGTACTTGAGTCTGTTACTTTAAAGTGGGGTTGTGCCGACCTTCATCTACTGCAGTGAAAACACTCATTTTGGATAAGTCTCTCACACAAACCCATTTAAAAACTAAATCCAGATTGCTCAAGCGAGTCTTTCCAAATGTAACATACTTTGACCCCTGCTAAGATGCCTGTTGTTGACACACTGAAGTCCAGGTAGGCCAACATCTCTGGGGTCGGGGGCTTGTACATCTGGGGAGTCTTCTTCCTGGGCAGATCATCTGGAGGATGAACAGAAGGAGAGGTGAAATGTTTTTAAACGAGAATACTGAAATTACAGACCATTTTTTTCATATAAAATATCTACACTCTGGTCGCAACATGAGCAGATAAATTGTGTTGTGTATGTATTAATAATTCACCTGTGTCCAACACCATGCCAGCTCTTGATGTCCACGGCAGCCGCAGCCTCTTTGGATTTCAGCAGCTTCATAATTGCTTGACTGGTTAGGATACACACCGACTTACTGACCTTTAACACAGAGATACAACAGTATTACTACTTGTATATATTAACTTATTCACATCATTTAAGCCCCAAAATGGAGCAGGGCTGACTTTGTATATAATTCAGTTTATTTCATGTTTCAATAGCCATACATTCAACAGGTTTAATGATTGTAATAACCAGTGGCGTCGCCTGGCCTGGGCATCCGGGGCTTTAGCCCAGAATGTTTTTTCTGTAGCCCCGGACAATTCTCCCTCAATAATATAATACATTAACCGTGCTTTACGTGAACCTCATCATGACACAAGAGAGGACGGCATCACTGTAATTTCCCGTGTTCAGTGAATGCAACAGAGGCATGACACCAGACCAATCAGAGAGTTGCATGGAAAAAACGTGTGCTTGTGTCATTCAAGCTCGGCTCTGTGTGTGTGTGTGGCAATAGCGCATTCAGGCAATATGGTCTAGCTGCGGCCACGGACAGTACATGACACTACACGACACGCCCACTACACGACACGCCCACCTGACACGACACTACGGTGGCTGAGAGACATTACCGTACATGGCAGATTAAAAGCGAATTGACGACACTTATTATTATTGAGATCGTACATGGCAGATTAAAAACGAATTGCAAATGTTATTGTAGCATTTTAAGCAACTATTAGGCAAATAAATTAATAACCTAGTCTATCCGTTTGAGACACAACAGTATAACTTTCAACCCAAATCATTTTGTCAACAAACGGTGGTTTAGTCAACTTTTTTTTAATATATAAAATAGGTATTAATGAGATGATCTATTGATTATGTTTGTCTAACTGCTACACATGTATTTTATACATAAATGTAGATATTTGTGAACATCTAAATATAGTTGTTAAAGGTTTTAAGATATACATTATCACATCATGGGGTCATTAAGGAACAAATTAGGAGGGCCAGTCAGGCCACTAATGAGCTCAATCATTCACATGTATTATTATTACTTTATAAATTAAAAGTACTAGGGGTCTATTACAAAACCTTTGAAGGAATCGCATAAATTAAAATAAATGTATGGCAAGTATGATCAAATTAACATAATGTCAAGATATAGCCAATAGACAATCAACATGCTTTGAATATAAAGGAAGAAGAACAATAAACAGATGAACATTTAGGTTTTATGTGTAAATTGTGAACAAACCATCTTAATACAACTGGCAGTCTAAGACAGCAAACTAAGCTTCTTTAACTGCTGCTAGAACACTGTTTTACCATGGGGTATTTCTAACAAGACCAAAAAGATATACAAGGCTTCCAAAACAGAAGAAACCAACTCAATACAGTATTTTAATTTCCTTCAAAACGACAAAAGCACTAATAAAAACCAAATAACAATAACATAAAGGAAAAGTAATTGAAGTGGTTGCCTGTTGTAAATACCTTGGTATCTGGCTTGATGATTGTCTCTTCTCTAATAAGTCAAAGATATGTTTACTGTATATTATAAAAATGCTTGTCATGTAGGCATACTGGAGATGGGAAGGCTTTAGTCAGTGTTGTAGCTGAGATTCTTACCGTTCCAATGATGTATTAATAATAACTTGGATTTATATAGCGCCTTTCATGAGACCCAAGGTCGCTTTAAAAAGAACAGGAGTAGAAACAAACATAACAAAAGGCAGTTAGACGAACAGTTAGACAGACAACACAAATAGATTTGGGGCCAAAGACCTTGGCAGACTTGAGGGCCCTTTTGAAGGCGTCAAGCGTGGGGATGTTGCAGATCTCCGCAGGGAGAGCGTTCCAGAGAGTGGGGGCTGCCATACTGAAGGCTCTGTCCCCGAAGGATCGCAGGTTGGTGCGGGGGGCCAGAGTCTGAAGACCGCAGGTTCCGGGGTAGGGCATGTGGGAATTGTATTGATTTGATACAAGCAAGCCAGTGTTTCATTGTGTACTTTCAACTACAGTATATGGTCCGGCAAGTTCAGCATGCACTGCATTCACTGTGATGAATATACAATAAGACACTGATACCGTTTTCCTCAATGAACATTTATTGAACAGAACATCATGTGAAAAATGTTTCTTTTTAGTTGTAGGCTACAAAAACAACATGTTGTGGTTTTGCGCTTTGACATCAAAATGTTGGGGGCTGTGGAAATATTGTGCCATGTTGCTGCAGCAGCCGGAGCCATCACTGGAGCGGCCGTCGGAGCCATCACTGGAGCGGCCGTCTGGGCCATCACTGGAGCGGCCGTCGGGGCCATCACTGGAGCGGCCGTCGGGGCCATCACTGGAGCGGCCGTCGGGGCCATCACTGGAGCGGCCGTCGGGGCCATCACTGGAGGAGTCGTTGTGGTTGCTGGGGCCGCCGCCAACGTAGTTGGATGTTCAGTGCAGCAGTTTTTAAAGTGACTAATAAACATCTCCTTTCTCCCAATGATTCTTGGGCAAAAGCCACAGTGATAATGGCTGCTGGCCACACATTTGAGATGGCATTTATAAACATTATAACCTAAAAAAAAGAGACAGAAAGTGGTTTAGAGGATTCTAGAAACAAACCAACATGAATTTCTTGTAAATATGCAATTTGAAACAAGGTGTTTGTGCGAGAGCAATAAATAATCATGTCACCAACAATAATATTTTTGCCTATAAACTGATTTTTTGCAGATTGAATGTGTGATTATGCTCATATTGTGCCTACCCCAAATAAGGATATTTTTCCAGCATTATTAACACTTCATAACCTGAATATAAATCTAATTTTTAATGTTCAATTTATAATTCAAAATGAATTTACACCAAGGATGTCCTGGGGCACAGAAATAACACATGTATCCATAATGTGTGAGGCATTAAACACATCTAACAAGTAACATGTAATGTAATGTGATGAAGTATACAATGATCATATAGAATTATAGATGTACTTACCTCCATATTTCACAAGTGCCCTCTGGTGGCTCTGCAAATGAGCCATCAGACCAGGGTATGACCCGGTCCTTTCACAAAATGGACACTGGAAGGTGTCCGAGTCCAATTTGTTGAGCTCTGGGCGTGCTCCATCACGGAGTGTTGTGTTGTTTGTCTATAGGTGAATAAAATAGAATACAATTTCAGTGACTTTAATATTGGAAATAGTTAACTCCTTAAACAAGCAGCAATGGACTGGCCTGTATAATCCTATGGGACAAAGCTGGTCATACTTCCTCACTTTCAGAAGGTAACCCTTTAACTGCCAGCGCCACCATTTGGTAGAGCACATTTTGTGTCTTGATATCTTGTTGAAAAAAAAAAAAGTTTAACTCCATCTGATTCAGCCAGCTCTACCTTTTTGGTTGACATGTTATGCACAAAACAACCTCTAGATGTCACTGTGGTTCGAACAGAAAGACCTTCAGCTAGTTTAAATCTTTATATATACGGTCTATGGTTTAAATGTCAGGCCTACAGCATGGCCACAAACCCCATCTAAAAACAGAGGCCTGATTGCATCCACCTGGGTTACTTGGCTCTACCCAATAACTATATATCATTTAACTTTAAACCACACTTAAAATAATAATATAATTATACATATGTGCATGTCAGTATAGCAGCTAATACATGTTTTTTTTTTAAAACATTCAAATGTGAAAGACACCTTCAATGAATATCAGATTCTTGTAAAAATGCGAGTACATGCATTGTTCCATCTGTCAAGCTAAAATATATACATATATCTTAGCTCTTAGCTTGACATGCTAACTGAACGAGCATGTTCAGTTAGCATATATGCTAACTGAACGTCGAGCATGTCAAGCTAAGAGCTAAGATATATATATATTTATATGTATTCCATTCCTTTACATTTAATATTTAAAATACAAATTAGCTAAATAAACACAATTACACTGCGCTAAACAGCCACATCGACAAACAAACGAGAACCTAAATAGTATGTAATTATATCTAAAACCACAATACGTTAATTACCTGTACTCGGTGCGCCATATTGTTTGTCTGTTCTCTGAACCTCATGTCTCTTTAAATATCCTTGCATCAGCGTCAGTGTCGTCAATTCGCTTTTAATCTGCCATGTATGGTAATGTCTCTCAGCCACCGTAGTGTCGTGTCAGGTGGGCGTGTCGTGTAGTGGGCGTGTCGTGTAGTGTCGTGTACTGGCCGCGGCCGCTGCTAGACCCTTCTCCATTCAGGCCCAATCCCAAACCACTCCCTCGACCGTACCCCTCCGTGGCGGAGTGAACTCCGTCTGTAGCCACACTCGCAGCTCAACGAGGCTCCCTCCTGTCAGATGGAGGGAGTAAATACAGCGGCAAGCTTTGGGACAAACTCCCCTCTCTCCGGCAGAAACAGGAAATGCCGTAACTGTATGTAACAACGGTTTCAAATCAGCATCTCTTAGACAAAAAAATGTAAATTAATAACTCAAATAAAACTCCAAACATCTTTCATTGTGTTACTTATTTGTAAAGCTCTTTTAGTTTTAAACCTGATGTTTATAAGCTTCTCAGTTTTTGCAACAGTCTGTAAATATACACAACTTTATAATAAAATGCACACATTTACCTTTTTCTAGACTAAACACAGGTATGATCCTAAGTTAAAAAAATATGAGGTTATCATGAGGTTGTTAACATCGCAATTTATCAGGGGATGTTTGATGGAACTGTTTGTAAACAGCGTGTTTCCTGACGGACACACACAGCGTTGAGACCTGTCAGGTAGAGACCAGTCTCAAGTCAGCACCGATGCAGACTCGCTGTTTGAGGGCTTGATAGCCCACTCCCCCTCCACCCCGCTCCACACTCGTTGGTTTGGAACAGCACTTAATGTGGCGGACCCTCCGCGCGAACGCGCAAACGGAGGGGTAGTGTGTAGGGGTAGGGTGTAGGGGGCGGTTTGGGATTGGGCCTTAGTGTGATAGAGAGAGAGAGAGGGGGAGAGAGGGAAAGAGGGGGAGGGAGGGAGGTGCCAGCATGGACCGTGTTGTTAGCATCTGGTTAGCTAGCTGCACTAACGGACATAAGGAGCTGTTTGTTCCACAACAAGCTGGAGGAGAGTCCTCTCCTCTCAGACTGAGAGACTCAGGTGAGCTAAAGGACTCTCTGAGTGTTTAGATAGTTAACTTTAGTTAGTTTAGTTATCTCAGTGGGTCTCAAACGGTTTGGTCACAAATTATTCAAAAGATTATTTCCGCGGCACACCTTCATATGATCATTATAGTTATTAAAAAAAAGAGAATAAAGGAAAAACAGTTATGAAATACTATATGGCAGTAAAACAAGAATAGAGTTTAAAAAGGGAGTGATTAGTAAAATATCCATAAAGAAAAAGTACATCTGTTTACAGTTCTGCTTCATATGGGTGTTGAGAGAGTTATCCATAGATCTCTTCATTTTGCTCTCAAAGTGCACCAGATTGATGCATTTAACTTCAATATTTAAAAAAAAATCTTCCCGGGGGAGCATCCCCCCGGACCCCCCTAGAGGAGGTGAGCCCCCCACTCATAAAAAATACCACTTTACCCCTGCCTATATGCCGTGAGCTGATTATCGAGCCTTCATTGTAACAGTCGCGGGTGTACTGTGTGTGTGCGTGTGGGGAGTGTTGCAGTAATAAATGCCACTGTAGTGCCGCTGCCACTGTGGGCTAAGCCCCGAATGTTTTCAGGTCCAGGCGACGCCCCTGGTAATAACTATGCAGAGGTACAGTATTTGATCCTGCAGTCAACAAGTAACAGAGGTACAGTATTTGATCCTGCAGTCAACAAGTAACAGAGGTACAGTATTTGATCCTGCAGTCAACAAGTAGAGGTTTCTACTTGATGCTTAACCCCAAATTGCTCCTGTAGGCATGGCAACATGGTAACAAAGTGTATGTAAGTTGCTTTGGATAAAATGACTTGTAATGGATTGAGTAAGCATTTTGATACAGGTCGAACGACTCTCTGTTACCTCAACAATCATCTTGACGGTGGGCAGGGTGGTCGCGAGGTTCTGGGGGTGGGGGGGGTCTGACAGTGACTGGCACACAGCCGGCGTACAGGCAGCCGTAGAAAGTGGCAATCAGGTTGATTCCTGCACAAAAATGTTAATACTTTGTTAAAACGGATTTCCAAATGTTATACCTAGTAGTTGATCAAAGCGTTACAATTATACTGAGAACTTTATTGAGTCTTTTCTGTTGTGGTTTTGATTCATAGACAGACTCAAACAGTGAAGAAAAGAGGGCCCAGCTTAAGAACAGTACTCAAAGGAAAAGCAGCATAGTAGCAGTAGCAGCTCTTACCTGGGGGGTAGACGAGTGCTACATGATCTCCAGTGTTGAGGCGTCCCATCAGCGCTGTGGCCACCATACTTGCCAACCCTGCCGATTTTCGCGGGAGACTCCCGATTTCATTGCCCTCTCCCGGTTTCCTCCCGGGGTCATATTTCTCCCGATTTCTGACTAAATCAGATTTACTCAGGATTGTTTCCACTCGGACTTTAATACAGCTACACCATTGTTTGGTTTCCATGGTAGCGCGTCTCTTTAGACGCAACTGAAAGTCTGAGAGGGTGAGGAAGATAGTCACAGCAAACAGAACCAGAATCGACAATTCAACCCTCTGCTCACTCCTTTCCTTTCCTTTCCACATATGCTCCATCAAGGATGGTGCTACAGGCCGCAAGGCAGTGCACTTACAACTACAATAAGCATGTTAATGTTAATCTAATACAGCTCCGGCGATGTAAAGCGTCTTTGAGCATTAGGAAAAGCGCTATACAAATCACATGTATTATTATTATTATTATTATTATTAATAAATATTATCATTATTTTTTGAAAATGACATCACTGCAATAAAGTGCCATGATTCATCAGTCATTAAAAAGACTGAATCCGCCAAAACATACGTTCTAATGTTTTATCTATTAACAGTTTCTAAGTGTATTTACAAGAAATGAACAGTAAAACAATACAATTGCGATGGTAAAACTACGTTTTATATACATGATGAAAAGGGCAGTGCATTGAGAACAAGGAACAGAGGATGGTCTGGAGTGGCCTGAGCTCTCCATTGCAGCACGTCCTGTATGTACACATTGTGTTTGTTAGTGAATCATGAGCCACTCTTAACAAGCACTTTCATTCATATTGTGCTTCTTACTGTCTTTCTGTTTATCTTTCCTTTTTTCCATACCTTTAGGTTTTCCCAAAATGCTGTTTATTAGTTTTAATAACATGTGTATCAATCCTCACATATGCAGATGCTTGTGTGTTTTTCATGTTGATGTATCAGAAGGTGGTCCGAGTTATCAGCTTATCAGCCTGCATTTAACCTTAAAGGTGTACCACTATATGTAAACACGCAAATGAAAACTACCAAGTCACTGCCTGGAATAACTAAGAACGCCTTTGTGTAGCTGGTATGGAGACAATAGGCTTGTTTGAGACAAGCGAGACCTGCGCAGACCTGCGCAATTGCGATCAACGTCTTGCTAGTGCGTTGCATGATGGTTAGTCATTTTGTCCGACTTGCTCAGGAGGCTCGCCTACATGAGACGTTGAAATCTCGCGGGACAAAGACGCCCGCAGACTTGAGAGCGAGGCGCGGCGAGGCGGCGCAGTTTCTCTCCACGGGCTGTGGATGCGAAATGCTTGATGGGAAACGACTCGCTGGTATCTCGAGCAGAGCGCTCATTGGTGGTTTTTTACCCCGTGCTGGTGATGAAACTCTCCATTGGCTCGGCAAAAGTTTGTTGTTTTGTGTCAGTTTTACGTCGCCACTTCCATTCATATTTTTCATCATTGTTCCACAATGTTTATCATGACATTACTATCTATATATTTTATACTATACTTGCACTGCTTACCGTTTTCATACTTTATATATCTTAGCATATTCATATCCCTCACTGTGTATTCATCATTCAATTCATTCTATATTTTATTCTGTAGATTGTGTACATTACTTTTCACTTTACTGCTTTTTGCACTCCTGGTTAGAAGCTAAACTGCATTTCGTTGTCTCAGTACCTGTAATCTGTGCAATAACAATAAAGTTGAATCTAATCTTGAGCAGGAACAAATGTATTTACTTAGTAAATATCTGACATTAACGATTAAACACATTTGTGCATGAAGAGAGAAACTTGCTCTGTCATAGGCCTACTGGGTCAGGCTACAAGGAAGTGGAGAGGAAAATATCACAAACAGAATACTACAGGATTGCTGGGAATATACAAAGTTCCAGGGGCGTGGGTTTGGCTGGACAAGTAAGGAGAGAACGAGGGCATATGGAGTGGAGACCATAAAGTTTGCCAAAGCAAGCCCATTTAGCAGTGTTCCCCCATGGCTTTCCCCAGAAGCTAATATAGATGTGAGTATCATCGAAAGGAAAAAAGAGTGGCAAATAAATGAAGTGAGAATTAAAAGTATGGGAGTATGTACCTGAACGAAAAGTATTACAATTACCTCAAAATGTATACAGATGGATCTAAGAAGCAATAATGCGTGGGGATAGGCGTGTATATACCAGAATTCAAAATATCAATCTCAAAACGAGTGTCACATAACTTATCAGTTTATACAGCAGAAATACTTGCAGCAATTATTGGGCTACAATAGGTTGAAGAGACCTGATAGGGTGGTGATATGCACAGACTCACTATCTGCTTTGGAAAGCATACAGTCGACAATAACTGTTAGAGAAGATTTCATTATTGAACTTAACCACTGCTTACTGAGACTTCAGAGAAGGGGAATAGATGTGCATGTTAAATGTTGTTGTAAGCCCTGACAAACACAAGGGTCATTTTGAAAAGCATGTTTTTTTTTATTTTATTTTTTCATAAATACAGTCTGCACCATTATAATACTCTGATGTGTGTACAGTGTTTTTCATCACTTTGTTCATACTCAGATGGCTGTTAAAGAAAGCTGCTTTTTTGAACGTTTCATTTTATACACTCTGACAAACGTCCTAATTTCCGCCATGTTGGGGTTTTCCTCCTGATTTCTTGCAAAACCTTCCACATTTATACAATCTCCCAAAATAAATGTTACAACACAGAAACCTGGAGAACGTCTACTGCTTGTTCATGAGGAACTGAACCAGAAGCTTGAGGACGTCGTCGTTCAGACCCACCACCTCTCCGTCCTGCACGCTGTCGTACAGCCGCAGGCTCTCGGTGCCCCACAGGAGGTTCTTTCTGGGGTTGTTGGCGTCCGTCTCCACAGAGAGGGCCACTGTGTTGAGCTGGTAGCAGAAGAAGGAGAAGAACTTCCCGTCTGTGATCACAGCCTGGGACACGAAAGGCCTGGTGACGTCCTCGTGGTTCCAGAAACCTACAGAGGTGAGGGGGAAGTGTCATATAATTTCTTCAATTAAATTATAATCCACTTAACAGAGACTTTAATGCAAACTGTGTCAGGGTGATTCGACCACTGCTACATCTCAATGGACTGATATTTGAGAAAAATTGTTGTTACTACCAAAAAATAAATAAAGGTATACTAAATGTGAAAAAACACCTTTGGATTTACTAGATGTTCTTTCCTAACACATGTCCCAAAGACTTACTATAGTCTCCATGAGGTTAAATTGGATTTCAAATACATGAAGAATAGAGTTGGGATTCTGCACTCATATACAATAAAAGAATAAACTAATCTAGAATCATTAAAAATATAAATGGTATTGTTATCTGATGTCTGTCCCTGTGTTACTTACTAGGGAATCACCAGGCTCCTCACGATACGATAGTATTTTGCGAAACGATATACTGCAATATATTGCGCATATATATTGATATGATAGCATGATATATTGGGTTCCAGTGTCTTTAACATGTGACAAAAGCCTTCGTTTTCCACAACACTGTACGGACGGAGGTCTTTGCACATGAAGTAGGTGATGATTGAGTTATATTCTTAGCTCGCTCAGTATTTGATGGTAGCTTTGCCAAGCTAATTTGGATTTGCAATATGAATAGCTTATATAATAAAATATCGATACTTGGCGTCTGTGTATCGATACAATATTGCCACGCAAAGTATCGCAATGCTATGCTGTATCGATTATTTCTACCACCCCTATTACTCACCCTGGTACATGGCCTGAGCTCCGGTCCAGGCGAAGAGGCTGGTGAGTGCGTTGGCTCGGAAGAAGACCTCCACCTGATCGGACTGCTGCATCCGGGCCATCCTGTCTCTGTGGTAGCGATCCGGCACCAGGTGGAACTGAGTGTGACCGTAGCAGGCCGGGTCCGGTAGCTTCGCCCCTGTTGATGAGAACCAGAGGACAAGTTTAATGTAAACAGAACACAGCTTGCAGAGAAAGGGTTAAGGAAAAACATTATAGGCTTCTATATTTTTCTCCAGGATAATTTTATAATTGTTTTGTAATTCTCCATCCATATTTGCGACTTAATGACCGCTGTTGTATGAAACAGACTGTTGGAATTTATTTTTGTCAGAGATGCAACAATTAGTTGATCTAGGTTTACGTCCACTGTAAGAACAACTGAAAATGTTTGATGGTTACAGCTAGTCAGTGGGTAGAATAAGCTGATTACGTTTTTTTTTCCTCCAAATTTGACATCTCCAAAAACAGCCATCTCTTTGGAAAAAATGACCCACACTTTGTCATTTTTGTTGACTGAACAGCTGCACGTTTGGGCCCCCTAGTGGCATCAGAAGTCACTGAATAATGAGAATTTTACTTATACTACAAAATGTAACAAACATACAATCATTATTTGTTCTTTTGGCTACTCTGAAATCACATCATGAAAAAGTGAGAAACGTTGGATGTGACTGCTCTCGTGTTACCTGTAAAAATGTTGTTGTCATACTGCCTTCTGAAGAGAGGCATGACGCTGGGAGACAAAGTGACCTCTTGAACTTCAGCAGCATAAGAGTCCTCCAGCGAGATGAACTAAGAGAAATTAAAATTAAAATTACAAATAAAATGGAAGCTGTTATTTATATGTTATTATGATGCGACACTGGTAGAAAACCTTGCTCTAGTTTGGTAGGATTCATGACAATTCAATATTGACAGATTTTGTATAACATACATTTCATAATGTGAGAATGATGTGTATAATGATCTGAATAATTGGCCGGTCATTGATCTGGAATCTGGTTGGCTCTTGCCGACCTCTTCGATGTCCCTTTGGGATGATTCTCTGTCCCCTTATCCAGTAAAAATGTACATTGGGATCAATATCTGATGGAGAAACACAGAAAATATGACTCAAAACGCTGTGTCTGTGGAAAATTAAAAAAGGTAAGAATGCACAATGATATTGCTATTTTGATCTAGAACTAGATACCAGGTAGGATCTATGGTCTATCTATGTGTTGTCCTCATTTGAACTTTTTGGCTTTTGTAATATTTATATATCTGTTCAGTTCAACATCATTGTTAACTTCATACGTTTTCTCTTATATTCAAATGATACATTTTCCCCTATTAGCTCAGAATGTATTTCACTTGTGTTTGTAAGTTCTCAGCTGTTTGTGTTTTTTTTTTGTTGAATGAAAAAACATATTTTTACTGCTCAACTTTAGATATTGTATCAGTTCCAAAGTCAAGTAACATATTGTATCGGCAATAGTATTAAAACAAATTAAATAACACCTTGTTAAAGATGTACTGTATATGTATTTGTAAGCATTACGCAGCACTTTTGGTGAGGTGAAGTACAAATTAGAACACATATTCCAAGCCACCTGGGCATAAAAAAGTTTCTGAGAGCGTTTGAGAAGATTTCACTTGAAAATGTTTGGCACTGCTGGTTGATGCCATGCAATTTTCCCATGATACACTAATTACTACAGCTCCCAGTTAAATTTAGTGAGTTAATATGTTCACTAAGAAAGTAGCAAGCATGTCACATTATTGGTGAAGGTGTTCATAACAACCTGCTACAATTGTTTAGTAAAGATTAGAATACAACTTTGTTTACTGGTCCACATATGAAACTAGCCACATTCACAGTGTTGCCACAAATATAGTTTAAAGTGGATGCTAAAGCAGAGGAACTCTCCAAAGTTTGACTGGTGCCACAAGAATGATCCGTACCCAGACTGGACGAGAGGAACAGTGGGTTGTAGTGATGTGTCGGTCGCGAACGAGCCGGCTCAAAGAGCCGGCTCTTTTAAGTGAACGACGGGAGCCGGCTCGCGCCCGCGAACGAGCCGTTTTTTTTTGTTATTTTGTTGTTAAGTAATACAAGACAGAATGATATGATGATCTCCGCGCTACAGCTGCTCCGTGCATGCATGCAGTGACATGTAATATCCAAGGATTAGAGACTGTTGGATGCTGCTGTACTGAGCATTGCAATATATTTATTTTCACTATGTCATTTATTTATGATTATCCTTGGGCTCAGCAAAGATTTGATGTCAGCTGTTGCTGTCTTTTTTTCTATAGTTAATACTGAAATAGAGCCCTGCTGTTTAGTCAGGGCCTTTTCTTTAAATATAATTTTAAAATGTCGATACAGTAGCCCCTTTATTTAAATGTCTATGCTTAAGTTTTTATCTCAATCTCAATCTTTATTTATTTATATAGCACATTTAAAACAACCTTCAGTTGACCAAAGTGCTGTACAGGCAATACATATTAAATAACACAATGGGAGTACAATAATAAAACAATAATTAAAAACATGATAAAAAGCACAATAACTAGAAAAATATTTAAAAAAAACACATACAAATGTAAAAATGTAATGTTCAACTAGTATTAAAAGCCAGTGCAAAGAGGTGAGTTTTTAGCTGAGATTTAAAAAGTTCAATAGACTCAGCAGTCCGGATATGTACTGGGAGGCTGTTCCACAGTCTAGGAGCTGCAACACTGAAAGCCCTGTCACCTCGGGTTTTTTATAGGTGTTGCTATCTGCTTTGTGTAGCGTGGTTCAAGCAAGTCAGTGCATTCATTGGGTGGTATCAGAGAGATACAAGGGTCTGTAAATGCAATGAAAACTGGCCACAGCAAATAATTGATATTAAACATGTAATTTTTACTTTTGAATACTTCAGTACAAAGGATGTATTGAATAATTTAAGTGATATGTGTACACATATAAATCATGAGTCAAAACAGGGCTACATTTGATTGAATTATAAAAGGTATAATATGTAGTAAACTGAAGAGCCGTTTGGGAGCCGAAAGAGCCGGCTCTTCTTGGTGAGCCGAGCCAAATGATCCGGCTCACCAAGAAGAGCCGGAATTCCCATCACTAGTGGGTTGTATTTGGCCAGACTGAATGCGAGTTCAGTCACCAGGTTTCTCAGAAAAGGTCCAACCGTCTGCTCCTGCTTTCTGTACAGGAAAGGTATGCGTTTCCTCAATTGCCAGTGCTCCAGTAAAATCACACGAGTGACCAAGGAGCGGATGTCCGTGAACCCATCATGTCCAACCCCCGGCACTGTGGTCTGAGCAGCGGCCGGCTGCTCCTCCTCTCCCCCGGTCTCCCTCTCCGGGCTCAGGGTGTATTTCTCGGGCAGGCCTCTCTGTGTGTGCAAGCCTTTGGTTCCTAAATGGAGGCAGGTTTTTAGGGAAGAGCAAGGGCAGGCGTGTGCGGGCCGCCATGTTTCTTATCTGACTTCTTCTTTCGTTGACATAAGATCTAAGTTTCTCCCACAACAGCGCCCGTTGCGGCACGAAAAGTAATAAACATGGGATTACCATACTGGAGAGTGTTTCATGTCTAACCTTGATATATACAGTCTATGGTCTAAACATCAACCCTATATATTAACTAATACAATAAAGCTCCATATTTTTACTTTATTTGAGTTTGAGGCCATATTATGTGATTTCAAGTTTAAAGTCTAAAGTTTGAAACTATACATTAGAGAACGTCAGAGCTCTTGAACCTACCCTTGAAGCAACGGAAACGCCCCCTTTGGACGCATTTAAAGATATCGTAATTTTGACATAAACACACCATTATCATGGAAATAAGAAGAATAAAGAACGTAACTATACAGTACCAGGTGCAATATTTGGAGACAATTAGCAATTAAGTCATATCTAACAATTAATGAGGGGAAAATACAGCAAATTATGTTATAATTCCAACCGAGACAAGTCCTATACCAGAGGTGATTCAGAAAGGGTAAACACACGTTACAAGGGTACATGAAGGCAACACCAATGTACAGTAAAGAGTTGTAGTCTGTGAACAAGATTTTTAAAACTGTGCAGTGTTGTGTTAAAAAAGACACGAGATAAAGCTTGGAACATACTTCCGAAACAATACATTAGCTGGTTAGCTAAACATGTATTTTCGTCAGATTTTGCGGACGCAGTTACACGGGACGAGAACGGTCCAACTCCACCGCTTGCACCGTGTTTGTCGAGCCGAGGTAGCTGGTCTGAAAAGAATCCATCTCATTCTCATAAACATTTTATTTTCCTCGTGTGCAGCTGAGCATTTTGAAAACGATTGTCCTACCAGCCCTGGTGGTGGCTGTGGGGATTCTGCAGTGCCCCACCACCAAGAGGTTTGGTGAACTGTGCCCCCCAGAAGTTGTGTTGTTTGTATGCTAGCATCCGTTTTTCAGATCACAGGTGTGTGATGTGTCTTTCTGACCTCCAGAGACCACTGTGCACAAAGAGTGACGAGGTGAGGCTGGCAAAGGAGGCCAGCAACAAGTATGGCTCCCCAGCTCCAACCATCTTCTCTAAAGTGATCGACAAAAGCATCCCTGCAGATATAATTTATGAAGATGAGAAGGTAAACAAAACAAAACATGTTATCATGTTGGCCTGTTCCACGTGGAAACCACAGATCAATCAGCAGCTTGTTGATGTTAAGAAGTTGTGCAACTAAACACTTAATTAATGTTGTTTTTGTGTCTTTATCAGTGTTTGGCATTCAGGGATATCAGCCCACAGGCACCTGTTCACTTCCTTGTTATTCCAAGGGTCCCTATTCCCAGAATAAGTGAGGCCAAAGATGATGATGCTGAGGTAATGTTATTCCATCAATGTGCTCAACCTGCCACTCCTGTTTAGGGGTTGTGAGTGAGATTTGGAATACAACTACATCCACATTCACAATATATGGATGGCATATTTTCATTCATACATTATTTGTATGTATTTTCATTTATACTACTGCCTTTTTTTTTAAGGTACAGATTTAGGAGCCTTACTGCAGGGATTTTCCCACGCATCAGACACAAGAGAGTTAGTGAAGATGGACATTAATGTTGGCCAATAAGGCCTTCTCTGAGTTTGGTTTAAATTCTTACAACTTTATCTTACCCCAAACAATTAAGAATAGTTCCAGACCAGAAGTTATTGAAAAACATGTGACAGGTATGTAAACATACTTCTACTTAGAGCTCACACACATTTTGTAACATAAATCCAACATGCCTTATATGTCTCCTGTATTATTAGTTATTAACAGTCAGTTAAATGCATTACCATAGTCAAAAACCTAATATGAAAGTGTAGCAAGACAATTTAATTGATTTAGTACATTTAAATACAGGTAAATCTGACATGTTACACATTCAAATGCAAAGAGCAAGAATGTAATACATTTTGCTCCAAAGGGTCCTTTAGTAACAACACCCAAAATGTTTAATCTTTAAAACATACATTTTATTTTATATTATGCACCCCTATGAAAACCATGTCTCTAACTCAAATTAAATTTCAGCTCTTAGGACATTTGTTGATTGTTGCCAAAACAGTGGCGAAGCAAGAATCTCTAACTGAAGGCTACAGAGTTGGTAGGTGACAGCTACACCTATAATATATACAGGCTGCTTAGTGAAGTACAAACTAAATTCTGGGTATCTTTCTGCCATACAGTGATCAACGATGGAAAGCACGGTGCTCAGTCAGTTTACCACCTTCACCTCCACGTCCTGGGAGGAAGACAGTTGGCGTGGCCACCAGGATAATGGCGACATGTATGACTTGATATATGATGGGTGTAGGTCATATTCTCTTCCCATCCTTCTGTACAAAAAGTAAATTCACCACAAATAATTGTTTAATGGACTAATTCAAAAGTGAATACATGATGTTTAATATGGCTGCAAATAAAGACATTCCTTCTAATATGGAATGGCAAAAGGTCAATTTGGTTATTTTATCTGACAGTCGGTGGAAAAACAACAAATTGTCAGCAGATTATACTACTACTACCAGTTACAGGTGTAATCTTAACAGCAATATTATCAGGTCTTTTTTATCAGTGAAACACATTTCACTTCTTGCTAGATTTATCCCTGTTTCTGGTCAGACAACATTCATTAAAGTGGCCATAGACATCATTTTGCTTTAACTCATCATTATGAATTGGATATTGATTGCCCAAGTGAATGGCTGTAGAATGGCATTTACATTAGTTCAATCAGGAGAGACGGTTTTGATGTAATAATACATATTTATTGCGCAGATGCACAAATGAATGCAATGGTAATTTTGGCGATTAGGCCCCGTTGTGCAGGAAGTATCATTCGGGAGGGTAGAACCGATCCGATGAAACCCCCCTGGGGTCTAGACACTGGTGGTGGTGAATGGATAGTTGGGTCGGTCTGAAGAGGAGTGGTTTAGCTTGACCCTGGATTCAGAGGGACAGGAGGTGAAAAGGGGGTGGAGGAGGGTTGCGCCGATTCACCTGGAATGAGAGCTGTCAGAGGGGAGAGCAGATTTAAAAGGTTTGACAGAGCGCTATGATAGGCTCTTGGGAATAGAGCGAAGTGATTGGTTAAGCTGAAGAGTGACGCCCCCGGTCACTTATTGAGAGGAGAGAGAGTAATAACATGGGAATAGAAATACATGAATGAGTAGAGACGGTCTTCCTGGTTGAACTTGCGCTGAGCTTAATTTCCCTGTAAATCTTGCGTTTAGGGTGCGATTTGTCACAATAAAAGCTTCAGACATATTAACCGTTATGTGTTTTGCTTGTTTGCACTGGCGGAAAGTGAGTAACCTACTGAATTCTACTTTACACTGGGCACTTTGTGAGGTTTACTAGGAAAATACAATACTTTGTCATTTCCACTTCATATTGCCACACAGTCGTTTTGCAAGTGGTGTGAACTTTGGATTTGCAGAGAAATTTTGACCAAAGTTATCTTGAAAACTAGAGGCCAGAGAGAGTCCGCTGGGACGACAGATCTTAATCTTATCAATTTGAATTACAAATTTAAAATGACATATCAGTACATGTGTTGCTTTATTGCAGTATTGGAATGTGCATTGACTCAAAGTACGATAACTCACAAAAATAGAAAACAGATAAAGATTTTACAAACAGATTATGAAATCACTTTATAAAATATGATACTGTGCTGTAGGTTAAACTTTCCAACATAATGCAAAGTGATTCAAATGTGCTCCACATCAGCTGGAACATTGAAATGCATTAAAGCATCAGTGATAGATTATGTATTCTAATATCTTGTTCTCACTGGACAACCTTTTGACACGGAGAACCCTGTTTTCTTTGTGTGCAGTCTACTTTTCTGCTGATTTATGCCCTCAGTTACCATTCACACCCTTCACAGATGGCATGTGCCGAGATATGAGCAGTGAGGGTCGGAGCAGGGACACATATGGTGTGACTGAGTGGGATGATTCACTGACCCCGGTGCCTGTGAGCAAGGTAACTACAGATCATTTGGGAAATGGACGGTTGAACTTTCCTCTATATTTACTTATGAAATATCCTTGAACGCGGTTATCAGACAGACAGATATGAAGCTCAGCCAGAGGAGATGAAATCAGGGCTGTAGTGAAACGTGACCAGAATAGATCTTTGGACATTTTAAACCGCTTTCATCCAGTAGGAATCATTTCTCTTATGTTCTTTATAAAAATCCCAAATAATTAGATGGAGTTAGAAAAGTGGAAGAATAAAAGGAGATTTTAAGAAAGTCAAGTCAGGATATCAGCACATTTTTTGAATATGTTGTGCATTTTAGTGTGTCATCTTGACAGTTCTCTCTTGATTTGTAAGAAAAGTTGCACATGTTTGGTTCAGCTGTTGAGTAACTTTTTGATGGTCCAAAGTCTAAAGTCTTGTCATAAACGGAGAGAACTCATCTAGTTGTATCATTATTTCTCTGACAGGCCTGGTCATGCATATCTGATAATGACTTGTCTTCATAAATCGATTTGGGATGATAAAGGTTTCAATAAAATCTGCTCTAAACTGTCAATTGTTTTGAACCGTCACCAACACCAACAGTTTGCTGGTATAATCATTACAAACAGAGCAGGTTTCTACCAGCTGTAGACTGTTTGTGTCTGAGGTGACGGGTCGTCTTCACCTTGAGCCATAACCTATGATAAAGCATATTGGTGGATCTTTAACCGGTGGACCCAGCTTCAGCGGCAGATGTTCAGAGGATTGCGAAAGTGTGCAAAGCTCTGGACGAGGCATTAGTGCAGGGGAAGTTGGTATGCATTCATGCAAGTCCACTATAGGCTGATATTCTCTCCAGGGGGCAACAGTCGACGCCTGCGCCGGGCAAAGGTTGATTTCAGTCTGTTCTGCACTTGACAGCTACTGTCAATCAGCTCTCTGCCAGGAGAAGGTAGGGAACCTTTAAGCATATTGCTTTTTTTATTTTTAGAGTCTGAAAAGTCTTATGTCAGGTGTGTTTTGTTGTAATAAGTTGCTATGGGGACTAGCTTTCCTGTATGAGGATGATGCACAAAAAACATTATTTTACTGACATGGTACACCTCTTTTTTTGCTTAAGCTGACATCAGTTTAATTGCAGAACACAATAAACACATATATATTAATTACATTTATGATTTTAAGGCTGAGAAATATGCACGCACTTGTAATTGTTGACATGTTGAGGGAAGCATATTCTCCAGTCATGTTTGTGACAAACACATGACTAACATAGGGAATATCCCCCATTTGATGTGGGCAGGCTGCCAAGCTTTTAATTGTTTGGTCAACAAAATGTTTCTTTACTATAAATCACTCTCCCAATAAAATGTGCTCTATAAAAGCTAGACAAGCAGCTACAAGCATTAATTGTTTTATCCAAGGCTTACAGTCACTATACTGTACCTCGGTAACTACATTTTCCTATGTGATTATAGGACTTCTTCTACACATTTTTACCAAAAGATTCAATATAACACTCAGTGTTCTTCAATGGTTACATCTGCTTTCTGGGTAATGTACAAATCCAAGTTGTTAATGGAACTGAAATCTACTTTGCAGGGAATTTGAATTGATATTTGCAGAATATTAGACTTTGCCGTTGCCATTTCATATTGCCACACTGTAGTTTTGAACTTTGGTCCAAAGACATTTTTGACCAAAGTTATCTCCAAAACTAGAGGCCAGAGAGAGAATCTGCTGGGTTGACAGATCTTAATCCAAAATGATTTTTATGCCATATATAATTAGAGAATGTGTCGCTAATTTGCAGTGATGAAAAGTAACTGAGCACATTTACTTAAGTGCTGTTATTAATCACATCATTGAGTTAGGTAATTCAATTGTATGCTACTTTCTACTTCAACTCTGCTAGATTTCTGGATTATTGTACTTTTTACTTCACTTCACACAAAGTTATTTTACAGATTTCAACATAATGATCAATTTATAAAATGGTATTCTGCTTAGATTTAACTTTTTTTTGTGTAGAATAAATAATCTTAACAGTATGTAAGGTAATTTAAACGTGTTCCAGCTATTACATATTTACATGCTGCCTATGCTGCCTATGTGGTAAAGCATCAGTATTGATATGTGATATACATTATTACAATAATACGGTATATGTAATAACCAAACTCTCTGAAAGGAACCATTCTGTGTACATTTGCTGTTAATACTTGCTGTACTTTAAATTAAGGGAAATCTTTAATGTATGACTTTTACTTGGAAAGAGTGTTTGAATTGATTGAATTCTTTACAAAGTTAAGTTATTAAAAGGAACAACTTGAGATCTTACACAGTAGTTGATAGGTTTAAACACTAGATGGCATTATTTCACCATGATCATGTATTTTCTACAATATTTACATGTCATTACATACTATTTTTCACCTCAAATTGTATTAACCAGAGATGTCGGAGATACAGCAACAAAGAAAATAAATCTTTCATGTAGATTTTATAGGGCCATTTGATTTTAAACTATGTTTCATCTACAGCAGCTTTACTCAGAAGGCTATGTCAGACACAGACTTAAAGATTAACTCCACTCTGAACGGAAAAGCCATCACATCCGAGCTCAGCTCAACGTCCGAGCTGGAGGAAGCCACTGAAGGACTTTCACTAGGTGAGAGTCTAACTAATCTGATGCATTTGTACTATATACTGCATCACTAATAGTGCTGTCTTTTATTGTGAAATTCTGATTATCTTTAAAAGCGACTGATGAGATCTGAAAAGGCAGTATAACTCTTAAGCTAAGAGGTGTGGTGTAGCCTCAGATAACACCTGAACATAAGGTTGACTTATGAATGACCCTCATTTCTAGCTTCAGGGTAGGATGGAGCAAAAATAGTTTTTTGCAGTTTGTGAATCTGATAGGCTCTCAAACAGTCATAACATTTTAGGTATCTAGAATCTAAAGGGGAATAGCAACATGTACTTGTGGATAATATAACTAAAGAAAAGGGATCAATACAAAATAAGACGATAACTTGATAAGATTAAGTTAAGTTTTAGTGTATCCAAAAAAAGGTGGGAAGTAACTAAGTACATTTACCCAAGTACTGTATTTAAGTACAATTTTGAGAGACTTGTACTTTACTTGAGAATTTCCATTTAATGATACTTCTGCTCAATTTAATTAACAAGCTACCCTGCAGCATACAAAGTAATTAAAACTAGCTGCACCTTTACCAGCGTTGATAATACTTTAATGCATCAATTATTATAATCAAAACATGTCATATTTATTTATATATGAAATTGACCAATTTGCATATTAAGTAGCCTACTAAAGTAACTAAACGTTTATTTTGATCATAATACTTTTGTACTTTTACTTAACAGTAACATTTTGAATGCAGGACTTTTACTTATAACAGAGTATTTCTACACTCTGGTATATTTATATATTTATTTAAGCATCTGAGTACGCCTCCCA